TGAGCAGAGTGAGGGCAGTCAGCGACGTCAGCGCGCGCCGCCAACGTGCACGAAGTGCCACGTTCAAGGCCACACAAGAACTCAGTGTAGAGCTAGATAACAAATTATATTCTTTAAGTCTTGTCTAATTTTATTGCGTTGTTGTGGATCAATTGCGCAGAACGTCGCGCCGGGTTTGGTGAGGTGGCCCATTAACTGATCCGGCCCACTTACTGATCCTTGACGTTACCTTTCGTGGTTATGTAATGCCTTGCCATTGTTCAAGTTGCCATTGAAGGCCGACGCGTGAAACATAGCTTGCCTAGTGTATTCAATGGTGTGAACATGACTTTCAAAACGGTCGATGCGGCAACAGGCCCCTCGTGTGCATGCTTGGTGCATATCTCCTCAAGCTACTAGGTAGCTAGAGACGAGGTCACGATTGGGGTAATCAAATCAGACGTCGCACGGACAGCCACTGAAAGACAGGCAGACCCTTGGCATCGTCGTTTGGCACCACCCACACAGCCCTGTTCAGCCGCGCGACTCCGTAATTATGGTAAGCCTAGTAGTGTACACAATGTCATCTCAAGGCCCCACGTACGCTTACAGCCGATCATTCTGGGAATTAACTCATGCATTGCCATTGGTAACGGAGCCATTGCTAATAGGCCCACGGATGCATTGATAAGCAACATTTCAATCGAGATATATATCAAAACACCGCCGCCTAGCCAGGCCGTCAGGTGCGACCCGAGTGTGTAGTATGCTCTTTGCCCCAGTCCTGTCCGTAAGAATAGTACAAGTTCCGAACGCCATGCGCTAAAGTCAAAGTCCTAGTTACTCCATGCCGCATTCCATATAACATGACCTATGTCTCGTGCAGTATTTACTGTGTCAACCACCCTGCCTAGCAAGGAGGGTGGCAACGGCTCTTCCTCTTCGTCTCCAAACGGCATAAACATGCCCGATGGCGTCCTTCGAAGTTGGCTACTTTGCAACGATGCTGATGATTCGCTGCGTCGAAATGAGTAAGGCTCAGAGCCTGTTGATGTACTTGATCGGTTTGTGCCGTATGCACTGGCAGGATCAAAATACTCTTCGCCCTCTTCGTCATCCTCGGCAAGCAGAAAGTTGCGTGAGGGATTCGAAGGCTTCAGTGTTTCTGAAGATGGCGATGGAGACAGCCCACGCGGCTTCCAGAATCCAAGCGAATGTGATTGCTGCGTCTCAGGGACATCTGGTGAGTCGGTGCGATACTTGAGCGTGGTCGATGGTAGCTTGGCAATGGTCTTGTTGTCACCGCTGATGCTGGCTGTCGACGCGGTGCGCGACAACGGCTTCTTTCTACGTGATCGCTTCATCATGACGACGCCTTCGTCCGACGAAGAATCATTGTCCTGGTACTTTGCCCAGGGATTGTGGTTGCAGTCGTCCTCTTCATCGTCGGCGTCTTTGCACTCGACGGCAATGCACTGCTCTACCTTGTCGTCGAATCGGATGTGGCGCTTTTCTCCGTGATCCGGCGTGTGCAGCTCCGAGGTGGACTTTGAAGAAAAGTAGTCGGTTCCTTCTGAAAAGTGGCCTCGGGACAGGGTGGATGATGTGGGGAAGTCGGGAGTGACTCGGCCGATGATTGGTCGGGGTCTCCGCAGGTCCAGCGTCACACCGGTTGTTCGCTGGGCCTGCACCGACTCGGCCGCTTGCTGGACCAACGACGACGACGAAATTGACTTTTGCAGCATGGCCTCGGACATGCTCCGCTTCTTGAGAATCGGCTTCTTGACGCCATTGACAAACGAATTCGTCTTGGACAGGCGGCTTTGCGGCTCTGAATTTTGCTGTGAGAAGAAGCGGTTGGACGCGGGCTGCAGTGGGCCGTAGAGCCATGTCACGTCGACGTCCTTGAGCCTGAGCGATTGGTTAGCCAGGGCACAGGACACGAGAAAAAAAAACCTGCAAGTAGGGCGCACGGATGGGGGTTGATCGACACCCCTGCCGTGGCTGCCGATCGAAATCATCAGCACTCACCAATTCAGTGTTTCGGGCGACACCGTCTTTAGCTTAAACTGGGCCTTGGCCCACGTTCGCCACGAGGCATTTTCCAGTCTAGAGCGCTCGCCGTAGACGTTGCGGTGCTCGACAATGTGCCGCCACGACGACCAAATGTCTTCTTCCCGCCACTCGTACGAGAGGTAGTCGACATGGTGTGAGGGCTCCTTGCGCACGGCCGTGTCATCCTCGGACATTGGCATAGGGTCCGGCGTGGTTAGCGGTGAGTCGGGCGAAAAGCCCTCCGTGGGCGAAGGTGAGGGTGGCGCCGGGGAGTGCATCGAAGCACTCGTGGGTTTTGATGAGGCTGCATCGGTCGACAGCGTGCTCTTGTCGTGCTGGCGAGCCGAGCTGTAGTTGGGAAACGACAGGCCATCGTCGTCGCTGCCCGAGTCGTCCGACTTTATGTCGAGCGACAGGCTGCTGCAGGGCGTCGAGTAGAGCGAGGAGGTGCGCGAGGAGCTCAGCGAGGGCGAGCGCAGGTCGGGCAGCGAGTACTGGTTCTTGCGGAGCGGCGAGTAGGCGTCGTAGGCGAGCGACGACGACGAGGGCGAGCGTTGGAAGGGCGCGGCGTCTCGGGGGAGCGACAGCATGGCCGTCATGACTTTTGGCAGGCGTGGAGAGCCTCAATATCAATCACAGGGTCTGCCACACGGCGTCGACAGAGCTGGGCCGGGTGGTGGTTGTCGACATGCGGCTCGGAGCGGCGAGGCGGTCCAGGTATATTTGGGGCGTTGGGACGGCGGGGAGAGATCGGGGAGAGGCTTCGCAGGGCGGGGAAGTCGTCGACGCCGGGGCAGAACAGGGCAGGGCGTTGCAGGGCGGGTAAGGGGATTCGCAGGCGGCTTGGGGAGGGAGGACTGGAGAATTGAAGGTTTGGATATGGATGGCAATAGTGCGCAAAGCTTCGACCCAGACCGTCACCTACCGACGACGCAGCGACGCAGCAGGCTAGCCGCAACCCCGCAAGCCCGGGACTGCGCCCTGGCAAATCGGACGCCCTTCACCCACTGTCCATACGCGTTGACGGGCTCCACAGCGTTGCGTCCTGCTATCCAGTAGCTGCAGCCCAGGCCTGTCCGCTTGATCGGCATGCAGCCCAACAGATTGAAGGACTCGGAAGCCTAGACCGCTGCTAGGTGCAGTCGTCTTGACAACGCGCCTCGCCGCCTGCCTCTGCGCGCCCCGTGGCCGGGGGATGCATGCCGTATACTGCGTACCTACGCTGCAGCGCCGCCGAGCGCCCCCTTCTCCGACCAGGAGCGTTGAAGCCTCGCGCTGTGCGGGCGGGCGGATGACCTCACGAGACACACGAGGGCGAGGCCGGGGGAACCAGTTTGCGCTGCGAGCAGAGCAAAAACAACTCCCACCCCCAGCTCCACGACATGCCGCGGCCGCCTTGCGCTCCAGTCCAATATGCAATGCGACGCATGCCCGCCTCACTAGCCCTCGACCTAGCTTCTCAACACCAAGCCACTGCTCGCAACTGCGACACCGATACCCAGCGATATGACGAAAACCATCCACAGCCCTCTGCCAAACGCCTGCTCCTCCGCATCTGCTTCGACCTCTCGGCGTTGGCGAACCTGTGGGGAATGACGTTGAGGCCGCAGTGCAGCAATTCAACAAAGCAAATCCGCCTGCTGTTCGAGCCCGGGAGGACCCCGGATCCACCTCAAGGGCCCTTATCGGTGCCGTATCCTGCATGTGCTGCGCCAATACGACATTGAGCCCATCACGTAAATGTACATATCTCTCTAGACATCCCCTCTTTTCTCAATCTCGACGCCTGGAGCGGGCTCAGCTCCTGCTGGAACGCGCGAAGAACGAGCCAACTATGGGGTATGATTTCAGTGGATACGGCACCCCTTCATGAATCATGGCCGTGTTTGAAGAGAAAAAAAAACCACTCACTTTCGACCAAGGCTTTTCACGCGAGCTGCTGCATTGCCCAACCATCACTCGTACTACCAAGTACACACCCACACCCATCCCTTCCTTGCTCTTCTCCCGTCGAGGCGCTCCCAAAGGCGGTACATACTACTTTTCCTGTGTGCCATGTGTGTTACGTAATACACGTTCCGTTCCGCGGTCTTCCAGCCGCATCCCACGCGTATAGCTGTCCCTTGACTTCTGGGAATACTCACGGCAGTAGTTGAAAGGCGATAAGGTCTGTAGCGACTATGGAACTCGTGGATAGACGTTGACAGCCTGTGGAACGTTGTACGGCAGCCTTGGACCCACCCTGCGGTGGCGCCCAGACGTAGGGCTGATCAACCGTTTGGAGCAGCCACAAAGCCTTGACATGTCCGGCTCGCATGTAGCAACGATTGTATACACATTCGCATCTCATGGCGTGCTCTTTACAAGGGGCGTCTAGGCCCTGTGTCTGTGGCTTAAGACTTCTGCCGACAGATTGGTCAGCGCTCAATCGATCCAAGTGACAACTCTGCAAGGGTCTGGCACTGGTGCAAATGACGTTGGTTCGGTCTTCGTCGTTCTAAAGCCCCGAATCGCGCGAGGCTTTCCTATTATTTCCAAGATCGTACTCGCGTGCGACAAAAAAGTCAGAGCCACTGTTTCGCCCGCCGTTACCTATGTATATACTACATGCCGCCGCGGTGCTACCGTGAGTGTTTGTTTTTCCCGTCATCCAACGACAATTCGACATGACTTCCACCTACGACACCACAGCCCCCGCCGGGGGGACCCTGCCAGAGACGAATGCGCAACTGCCTGACAAAGACCTGAATGTGTCCACACCATCGAGCGATCTCAGCATTACAGCACCAGACAACACAGTACAAGGAGATCAGCAAGACATACAGGAGAAAGATGCTGCCGTGGGCGGCACTGGTGACGCAGCTGCAGGACTTGGCGCACAGGACGATGAGCGCCCACCGAGAACGAAACTACAGATCGCTTTGATCATGTTCTCGCTAGCCGTCGCCATCCTTCTCGTGGCCCTGGATGTCACCATCGTCACGACGGCCTTGCCTACAATTTCGGAACAGTTCAAAAGTGCTGCAGGATACACATGGATTGGTACGGCATATCTCATTGCTCAGTCGGCAGCCGCGCCAATCTGGGGTAAAGTCTCGGACATCTTTGGTAGGAAGCCCGTCTTACTGCTCACCAACGCCATATTCTTTGTCGGCTCCCTCCTCGCTGGAGTTGCCGTCGATATGGATATGCTGATTGCTGCACGGGTAATTCAAGGCATTGGTGGCGGTGGCCTGACCATTCTGGTCAACATTACCATCTCTGACCTTTTCTCTGTGCGCGACCGAGGCGCATACTATGGTATGATTGGCGGAGTCTGGGCACTGGCAAGTTCACTCGGACCCGTCGTTGGAGGATTGTTTACGCAAAAGGTCTCCTGGAGATGGTGAGTGACACTCATGCATGCATGCATATATGCATGCCACGGTACATGCGTGAAACCTGTACTGACTTTGCTCTTACCACAGGTGCTTCTACATTAATCTTCCACTTGATGGACTTGCATTCTTCATTCTCTTCTTTTTCCTCGATGTCAGAACGCCTAAAACCCCACTGCGTGAGGGCCTCAAAGCTGTTGATTGGCTAGGCTCACTCGCCATGGTAGGCGGTGTCATCATGCTGTTGCTGGGACTGGAATTTGGTGGTATCACACACCCCTGGGATTCTGCAACCGTTTTGTGTCTCATCATCTTCGGAGCGGTGGTTATTGGCATCTTTTTCCTCATTGAGTGGCGGGTAGCACCCTATCCCCTGATGCCTCTAGATCTTTTCTCAAAACGGTCAAACCTAGCTGCCTTGGCCGTCTGCTTCTTTCACGCATTCGTATTCATCAGCGGCAACTACTTCCTCCCGCTCTACTTCCAGGCTGTTCTGGGAGCTACACCGATCCTTTCGGGTGTCTATCTCCTGCCACAAGCGGTATCGCTGTCAATACTCTCGGCGATTACCGGTATCTTTATCAAGAAAACCGGTCAGTACCTGCCAATGATCTGGCTCGGCATGTTTATGATGACTCTGGGCTTTGGATTGTTTATCGATCTCAACGTCAATTCATCCTGGGCCAAGATCATCATCTACCAAATCATTGCAGGTATCGGCATCGGACCGAACTTTCAAAGCCCCCTCATTGCTCTGCAAAGTCTCGTGCCGGTAAGTTCCTCCACCAGTCCGTGCCTCGGGTCGCTTATGCATACCTCATTGCGAAGCTGTACGCAGGGAGCGGGGTTGCGCCCTTGGCCATGATTACTGCTGCAACTAGTACACCGATGCTAACAAGCTTTGCAGAAACGAGACATTGCTACTGCGACCGCCACTTTTGGGTTTGTTCGCAACCTTGGATCAGCAATTTCGGTTGTTGTGGGCGGTGTGGTGTTTAACAATCAGATGAAATTAAAACAACCCGAACTGGCTGCTGCACTGGGCGCACAACGAGCATCGGCGTTTGGTGGAGGCTCTGCGGGTGCAAATGTAGGTCTCATCCAAGCTCTGCCCACCGACCAAAAGTTTGTGGCCAGAAAGGCGTTTGGAGACTCATTAAGCACCATGTGGATACTATACGTTGCATTCGCTGCCGCGGGGCTAGTAGTCAGTTTCTTGATCGGTCGTAATAAGCTCGACAAGCAGCATGAGGAAACTAAGACTGGACTCGAGGTCGAGAGGACCAAGAGGCTAGAAAGGGAAGCTGAGCGAGCTGAAAGGCGAAAGAAGAGAGCTAGCAAAGGCTCACTACCTATTGACCCAGAAGTACAAGCAACCGACGCTGGAAAGGAAAAGGACAAGGAAATCACTGCATGATTTGTGTGTGATTGAATTCAAGGGTTTGCATTAGCGTTGCATCATGGCCGGAGTTTTGTTCCATGAATTTGGAGGCTTTTGTGGCCAAAAGAATTGTACATATCCAATACTGAAGCATGATAGGCAGATGCTTATTTACATAATAAGATTAACACTAATGGAGTGGCAGCTCTATCTAATCGATTTTGCGAGGTGTATATCGAGACCGAGATGATCATCGGTTTGAGGGTCTTGTCCTCGTGGCTCAGAGAGACTGTTACATTGTAATGTGTGTCTTTATTGGAGGTGGGAAAAAGAAAACTATTCCACCTTCTGATAAGTAAGCTCATCTTAAGTCGAAAAAAACAACCACCACAATGCTCAATCGTGTCAAAGACAAAAGCAGCCCGGAATTGATGTTTGTCCGCCATTGCATTGCAGTATCCATGCATCTAAGTGATGATCATTATAGCAATAGAAAGACAGTACAAATTGGAAGTGTTCAAACAGAGATAATGCTAATAAACTTACCAAGAAGCTTGGTAAATTTACCTGAGAGCAAAAAGAAATATTTATGACGATTATGCGTCACTCGCCTGCCACAAGTGATGATACGGTGTCACGTGCACTGGCCGCCAATCGCAGCGGATCCCATTCAAAGCTCACCAGCACCGACGCTCGCGCGCATCCACACCACCGCCGACGCCAATTACCGTACCAGGACCGCTTGGATTGCTCTCTACAGAGCATCTCCGATAGATCGACGTGATTCATCCGCCCGCGCACACCTCGCCGCCGCCGCAATGCCGACACCCGAGTCCGAACTCTTTCTCGCCAAAAAGCCTAAGGTTGCGCCAACCTTTGATGGCGTCGACTACGAGGACAACAAGGCATTGAAGGCTGCACAGGACGCCATTATTAGGGAGCAGTGGGTCAGGAGCATGATGGCGAGGTTAGTTCGGGAAGAGATGGGCAAATGCTACCGGAGGGAGGGAGTCAACCATTTAGAGAAGTGTGGACATTTGCGAGGTACGCTTTACTTCTAAATATTTTGAATGATCTATTGTGGTGTTTGAGAGCTTGGAGAAAATGACGTGGGGGTTCAGAGTTGATAACATGGGTGCCGAGACTTGGTGCAGAGTGCAAACGCGGGCATGGAACACGGCTGACAATGGCTATACAGAGCGATACTTTGAGCTCCTCAAGGATGCAAAGGTCAAGGGATACCTCTTCGCACAACAAAACTACGTCGACGAGGCGCTCAAGCGATAGACGAATCCGGAACGAACAATGGGTGTACACATGATTACACGTATGCCAGGCGAACCATATGTTACCGAACAACAACAGGAAACAGCACGAGGACAATGCAGAGGTCGGGTTTCTGGCGATTGATGGGCATTGTGAGGAGAGATGCGACAGTCTTCTTTACAGGCGAATCTGTACATAAGCGTGCCGGATGAGAGGCTGATGTAGCACGAATTACAGGAACCCAATTCTTAACTGCAAGGGTACAATTTACAATTATTTGAACTGACGTGATTCTTTGTAAAATATATACATACATTGTCGAGTCCTGGTTATGCTCATTGTTTCTCGTAGTAACCTCTGGTCATGGTATGATGAGGCCAAGGCTCACTCACTGCACCCCCCCACTGCCGCGTACCTGTATCGGCCGCTCCCAACCGTAGCAACCAACACCCAGCAAGATGCCCTTTCCGTTCGTGCTGCCGACTACATCAATTATATCCTTTACCGAATACTTCAATAGTAGTACACATCCCTCACTACCAAACTGTGCGACGACTGCGCGGGGTGTTCTTCGCGACGTGCTAAAGCGGCACAAGCGCATACCGCCTTCCTCACAAGCATCCAACTTCTCAACTGTAATATCCGCGCTTAATGACTATATACCATACCTGTTTGCACTGGACGCCGGTCTGAGTGGCGCAAGCTGCGCGGGAGAAGAGATCGACCTGGTGCTGGTCAAAGAGCTGGAAGTAGAATGGCGCTCGACACTAGGATCCTCAATACCAGGGCGCGAGCCTGCAAGAGTCAAGCTGAAGAGTCTCGACAGTGAGCTGTGCTACACTCTGTCGACATTGGCCTACGTCTACAGCCTCCAAGCCCGAGCACAGCTACACACTCTCTACAATGCAACCCTACCGTCCCCCGAACAACGGGCAACGGCGATTGGTGCCGCCATGAAGCACTTTCTCGAAGCAAATTCGATACACACATATCTATTCAATCGCTCTGGGCAGTATAGTTCACAGCCTGCAGCTGTTGATATTTCAACGGCTGTGCTGGGGGCGCTTGCAGAGCTCACCATGGCCGAGGCCACCCTAATCACGGTCTTGAAAGACGACCCCTACCCAAGTGTTGTGATAGAGGATAGGAACAAACAAAGCAAAGACTGGATGTTCAGGGGCGTGGAAATTCCCAAAGTCCGCGCGCACTTGTTTGCTCGGCTGTGTCTTGCTTCTGCCGAACACGCTGCGAAAGCCCAAGCTATGCTTGGGCGCTCAACAAAGATCAGCGATGATTTAATCAAGTACGTGGATGATTTGAGACGGACTGCCAAGGGAAAGGCATGTCGTTTTCTCGCCTGTGATGCCGAAGCAGGAGGCAAAACTGGAGAGGGTATTGCGTGGCTACGTGGTGCGAAGAAAGAACTGGGGTTCGCAGCGCTAGGTGTAGAAGAAGACAAAAAGACTTCAGGTTTCTCTAAACTGAAGAAAGAGTGGCAAGAGAAGCGCGAGGACCGCAAGATTGAAAAGGGGGTAGACTGGGGCACTGATGCAGGGAAATTTGAAGAGGGAAGGATAGTCGATATGCTACTGAAGAAGTGGGAGAAGCAGAACGACACGGTAATTTTCTTCTATGTACATCTACACAAGTCATGTTGCTAACACCTATAGGTTGGCGTTCAACTCGTTCCTCCTTCAGAGCCACTACTCGCAAGTATGCCTTCGGGCCGAGAATATCATACGACAAAGATGTTTGTTGTACCAGCACTCGATGAGCATGCACTCGTCCGTATGAGGGCGCCTCCTGACCCAAGCGAAGCGTTCGAGGGCAACGAAGATGACAGCGCAGACGAGGATGAGCGGGACGCTCCGGCTGGAGCGTTCCCAGGAATAAAGGCAGACTATACTCCGAGTACCAGTTATTACTGACTGTCCGGATCTAGAATCTAGTCAATGTAGAGTCGGTATCCACTACGGAATGTTTCCGTTGTACAGCCACGTCTGCGTGGGTTGTACGTATCTCTTCCCATTGCCTTGGGTTACTTTAACGTCTAGGGTCGCCATATCTATTTCACCAACCAGAACTAAATGTGTGATCTAACCATTTTACACATTCAAAAGTCTATCACGTCGAGACCCAAGTAAGCGCATATTGCTTGGCTTCCAAACTGCCTATCTGGTTCTCGCTATCACCAACCAATACTAGTGAAACAATAAGACCGAAGCTTACCACAACAGTCGTACGACCAGCATGCACCAACTGACATCACCTCAAACAACACCATGCGATGGAAGCACACCCATATTCACACCAGCATGCCGAGTCTCAACGACCCTTTTTGCCAATTTGGACCTGATATACTCTGAACACCTCGGTTCGCTACAGTACGCGTTCAGACAAAGCACCCCGCCCCCATAATTTTACATTGGGTACACAAGCTCTTAGTGTTTGTGTACACAGCTTAGCGTCTGTGAGCCCTTGACACACAAACCCTGGCGGCCGAGCATCCCCCCCCGCACATCACTGCAACTGATAAAGAGATAGGCGAGAGCGACGCTATCCTTTCGCATCCAATCGTCCACCTGCGTCGCTCTGTTATCACCGACCTCGTCGCTCTCAACGAAGTACGCGTTCGACCACCCCGGTATCGCTCGGGGCACTGATAATGCCAAAGTAGAGTGTACTCCCGGTGTGTGGGTCTCTGTGGGATGTCCTACCCACCGCGCGCATCTATACACAGTAGGCGGGAGAGAAGAGGTTAGTTTGGAAAGACGAGCAAGGGATATGCCGGAACTTTGCGCACTATGCTGCGATGGGTTGAAGCGTATAGAGTACATGCAGGTATGGTAATTCCGCTCTTGAATGTATAGGTGCCTATACATATATATTAATATAGCTTTTTTTGTGGGCGTTATTCTCTAAACTGCTGGGAGCTGCAACAACGTTGCGAGACGAGATCTTTGTATATCAACCTCCCTACCTCTTTTTTTTTCCCTATGAGCAAAAGGGAAAGAACAAGGTCAAAAAGGTTGTGTTGTTTGATTTGATACAACTGGAAATTTTTTGTTCTTTAATTGATCTTTTTTATTTTCCTGTACGAGTATATGAATGCTACAAGGACAATGACGACGCTTAAGATCCGTCTTGTGGCCGAGGAGCCCGTGACATCGATGACACCGGACGACGATAACCCCTACGATGCAAAACAGCCCTACAACGCAGACGAAGAGGCGCTGGCAGCACTAGGATACAAATCTGAATTCAAGAGAGAGTTTTCGCTCTACGCCACGTGCGCCGTGAGCTTTGCAATCCTAGGGCTTCTCCCGAGTTTTGCATCGACACTCTTTTTCAGCATGGGATACGCGGGTACCGCAGGCATGGCTTGGGGGTGGCCGATAGCAATGATTGGCATTCAGTGCGTGGCTCTGAGCATGGCAGAGCTGTGCAGCAGTATGCCCACCAGCGGAGGAATGTACTATGCAGCTGCTGTGCTGGCGCCTCCAGCGTGGGCGCCATTTGCATCGTGGGTTACGTGCTGGAGTAATTGGCTGGTGCAGATTACGGGGGCTCCTTCTGGTACGTTTCTTTTTTTTTTCAACCCGCATATTTTGAAGTTTTAGGGATTAGTCGTGTGCTGACTATGTGGGCATTCAGTGAACTACGGCATCTCATCCATGATTCTGGCAGCGGCGAGTATTACCAATCCGTCCTACAAACCAAGCAACCTCCACACTTTTCTGCTCGCATCCTGTATCATGATTATCCACGGCGTCATCTCCTCGATGCCGACGCGGTGGCTCGCACAATTCAACTCTGCAGGCTCGACTTTCAACTTCCTCGCCGTCGTCGCTGTCCTCATTATGATTCCCGCCGGCACTGACCGCCCTGAGCGCGGCCTCTCGCGTTTCACCCCTTCGACCGAAGTCTGGGGCACTATCCACCAGGGCACGTCGTTCCCGCCGGGTATCTGCGTGCTCATGTCGTTTATCGGTGTCATTTGGACCATGTCCGGAATCAGCGCGCCCTTCCATCTCTCCGAGGAATGCTCAAATGCAAATGTCGCGGCGCCCCGCGCTATCATTGCTACGTCGAGTATCGGTGGCGTGCTCGGATGGGCCCTGCAGCTTGTCGTTGCGTACACCGTCGTTGATATCCCCGCTGTCATTGCGTCGCCGCTCGGCCAGCCCTTTGCTGCGTACCTGATGCAGTGCATGACGCAGAAGATGGCGCTGTGTATCCTTGCGCTGACGGTTATCGCAGGGTTTAGTATGGGACAGGGTTGCATGCTTGCGGCGAGTAGAGTCACGTTTGCGTATGCCCGTGATGGCGTCTTTCCCGGAAGTAACATCTGGAAGGTGGTTAATCCGTATACTAAGACTCCCGTCAATGCTGTGTGGGGAAATGCCGTTATTGGGATTTTTCTTTTAACACTTATTTTCGGTGGCAATCTTGCGGTTGGAGCACTGTTTTCGATTGGCGGTATTGCTGCGTTTACGTGAGTTTTGTCCGAGATGTTTTTTTTGGATGCATAGGGACGATGGGTTTTTTGCTAACGCTTTGGTGTGTTTCCAGATCTTTCACTATTCCTATTGCCATTCGCATCCTCTTTGTTGGAGACCGCTTCCGACCTGGTCCGTGGAACTTGGGCAAGTACTCGATTGCTTGTGGTACTGTCGCCTGCTCTTTTGTCGCTCTCATGATCCCGATTCTCTGCTTCCCCAGTGTCACTGGCAATCAATTGACGTAAAGTATCCTCCTTCCTTTTTTCCAACTACTCTGTTATTCACAAAAGGGAAACTAACAACTACAACAGCGCTAAAACAATGAACTGGACGTCAGTTTGTTACGGCAGCCCAATGTTCATCATCATATGTTGGTGGTTCATCTCTGCGCACAAGTGGTTCACGGGTCCCAAGGTGAATGTTGAGCATATGATGATTGGCCGCGATGTCATCATGGTAGATGGCCAGGAAGTGGCAAGTGATAGCGGTAGTGATGGTGCTAATGTCTCTTCGGATAAGGTTGTCAAATCATGAAATGATACCCATTGATGACTTTTAGCTAGATATCCATTCTTTGGTAGATTACTGTTCTCAATCCTAAGCCGAGATCAACGATAGTTCGAACAATGGTATAATCCGTAAAGCCGTAGGCCTTGAATAAAACACCTATAGAAGATGTCTACGGTTGTTTTACATTAGCTGGGATGAGTAGTTTGCTTCTACTATAAGTACTAATCGTTATGTATAAGATAGGACGTAATAACGTATATAGAGCTAATCATAACTTCTTAGTATCTAGGAAAGGGTTAAAGGCTCAAGGTAGAGTATTCTATAAAGTCTAGAGTAATGAAAGTTTGTTATTAGCGTCAGAGAAAGGAAAGTCTATTATAGTTGAAAAAGAACTTACTATAAAATTAGCTCAATGGCGAGGGCATTCAATTGAACTCCTTGAGAGAATTCCCATGAGACAGTCATATGAATGAATGACTATGATGACTCCAACAACTAGAGCATAACATTCCTCGCCTTCAATTACACCGAAAAAGACAGCAGGATCTTTACGAGCTATCCAGACCTATATAGTTAAACTAAGACTTCGAATAGTCCGAAAGGAGATCTCAGGGTTTACTTGTCACGAGACTTGAACCCAGAGGACGACCTTCGGGGATCCACCGGGCACTCCTCGGGACAGTCCGGTACCGATCACGTGCATAGAAGTATATAATACCCACGAACCATAGGAATACTCCTTAAGGATTCGTCTTCATTCTATTCTTTGATATACTCTGTGGCTACTCGCGAAACACCTCACATCACATTAACAGGCAAACACTGTAGCAAACATATGGCCGACTAGTAACTCTGCCCAGAATCGTCAATGGCAAAGGGCCTGCCGTGATAACAGGGAAATAGCAAGAAATTTCTAGAGAAAAAGTAACAAAGGACTGTCAGTTAAGCTCTGGGTGTGCCTGAACTTGGCTTTTATCTACAACACGAGAAATGCCATACACCAAATAGATCGCCCCCAGACGCTCCAATTGATAGACTCATGAAGTCTTGGGCCATGGAGTTTGTCGGCCCACACTCCAACCATCCAGCATCATCACCTATACCATATATCTCATTCCCCCAAAAGCGTTGCTATGACATGTACCATGCCCCGGCTTTCCTTGTTTATTTACTTCCTGTGCAAGTCTCGGACGTTTGAGCATGAAATGGCGCCGTCAACTAGCAACAGGTAAGTAAGGTCTGGGCAGGAAGTTTCCGTGACAGGGGTTTCCAAAGTGTTCTGATAATGAGAGTACGAATCCCAGTCTTGAAAAAAGCAACCAGGTCAGGTGAATGGGGAGCTGTTTGGTAGCGCGTGGGATGAGAAAGGACCCTGATCACCTGCCACTTTCGCAAACCATCCCCCATCCTCCCTTAACCCCATCCCGTGAAACATCCAGAACTCCCCGAGAAGACGTAGGTCTCGGTTCTCCCCCACTTAGTAAAACGACACGGCCTTTGCATCATTGACTATATGCACTGCCGTACGAGTCAGACTCATACGGCGCTTGAACTCGGTAGTGTACGCAGCGTCAACGAACTCCACGATCTTGTCTATCTTTTTCTCATTTTCGCTCATGGTCAAGGTGAACACGTAATCGTTCATATATTCTCCCGCGTCCGTATCCGCTCGACTGCTGCAATGCCACACGGCTCTCCGTGTCTCAACATCAACGACACTCTCGTCATTGCTGATGATTGAAAAATGAACGGCCCGAAATGCAGAGAGCATTGGCCCCATGAATGTTAGGTAGTCGGTGTTTGAGCGTGGAGGTACTTCCAGTGTAGCTGGCAGGGTGTAGTGAATGCGAATGGGGCTTCGAATGGCCATGATAGCCTGCAAGTCCTACTTGTTGTAGGATTGGATGAAATTGAGCGCCGTAGCGATGAGCTGATCTCGGGTCGGAGTTGTCCGTGACATAATGGAAAGTCATCGGCTGAAGTTCGATGGGCAAAAAGGAAGGGAGTTCTGCGTCAGATTTATTCTGCTGGTCAGAGTATCACGATTGGTACAAAAGTAACGTCTTCCACCCAAAGTTCTGCCGTGCCATACTTACTAATTGATGCATATGCATGTGACATGTTTTTTTCTGGTTGTAACCCATATGGGAGATAGGCGACCTACTCCTGGCATAGCTTAGTCTTCCGGTGAGCAGTATGTTACTGTAGCAGAGAGACAAACTGGCATACCTCGCATGAAGAACTATACTAAATCTAATAAGAACACAGCATATAGTGGGTGGAGCAGAGCGTAAAGCGTAGGAGCTATAGCCTCGGGGATTGCAATAGAGGTTTCCTTGGCTTATAGCATGGCCTAATCTCTAGTCGTATAAGAGTTCTTCTTTAAGGGTCAGGGTCTCCACAAATCGTGAAAGACCAATACAGCAATGGGAGAGCTTGGATTAAATGGACACTACAGAGTAGTTCCGACGCAAAGAACTATGTGCCTCGATGAAATATATTGTACCAACATGGCATATCCATGTTATAATGTCCGAGGAGCTTCCTGGTGTTTTCGGGCAGAATAAACGGCGACTAATGTATGCAAGGACTGGGACAGCAATGTCACGTTGCGTGTCAGGTCTGCAATAGGCTTGACCTTGCTTAGCTTGTCAGACGGGCCGTTACGAAGCGCCTTCGCGGACGCTCCCACAAATGCCGTCCTCGGAGCCATTGAGTTTAAATCCGTTAACCGCGAGGAGGCAGTTGATGTTCACAAACTCCAGACACTAACCCCACTAGCGTGCAAGACTGGGATTGGAGCAACACCAGGGTTAACCTTCTTTAGGCAAAGTCTCGGGCAATAAAGTGTTTTGTTACATGACTACGTATCATCCGGGGAATTTGAGATAACAATTGGGATGCACCACAAGTTTACAACCTTTTTATGAGCTTGTAATCTTCAGAGATTCTTAGAACACTACATTCCAATCATGGAGGACCAAAGTACCAAAGATGACACTGTTGTGTCAAATATTACGAACAATGACAGCATTAACAGCACAGCCGTAGACGATGCTGAGAAGATGATAACGCCAATCGTCGTTGATTGGGACTCACCAAACGACCAGCAGAACCCCATGAATTGGTCGAAGAACAAGAAATGGTCTACTATCGCTCTAGTGGCATACATCACCTTCGTCACGTAAGTTGACCAACAAACGTAGCAGCAAAGCATTCATTAACTGTGCTTCGATAGTTCATTTGGTTCCACTATCTTCGCACCTGGCGTCCCAGAGTTGCTCAGAGAGTTTCACACCACAAGTGATGAGCTCGCAACCTTCATTGTCTCAATTTACGTTCTCGGCTTCTGCGTTGGACCTTTATTCCTTGCGCCACTCAGCGAAGTCTACGGTCGCTTCCCAGTATACTACATTGCCAACATCCTTTTCCTTGTCTTCTCCATTGCATGCGCAGTGAGCTCAGGCATGGGCATGTTCATCTTCTTCCGCCTATGCCAAGGTATCACTGCCTGTCCACCATTGGTTCTTGGTGGAGGAACTATTGGCGATTTGATGGCTCCGGTTGACCGAGGACGGGCCCTTGCTATCTGGTCGATGGGACCTCTACTTGTAGGTCATTCAAATATATTAGGTTAAGGACGGAGCTGACTGGTGATGCTAGGGACCCGTGGTTGGACCTGTGGTTGGCGGCTTCATGGCTCAGAATATTGGGTGGCGTTGGAGCTTTTGGTTTACTGCAATCATGGTGAGAACGGAAACCCGACACGAGAAGGAAGACAGCTGACAACATCTAGACTGGTGTCGGCGTCATCGCTTCACACTTCATCCTACGAGAAACCTATGCACCTACTCTGCTTGGGAAGAAGGCTGCGCGACTTCGAAAAGAAACAGGCGATTCCAATTACAAGTCAAAATTCGATGAAGGCCTTAGCCCAGCGCAACACTTCAAGACGGCTATCATTCGTCCGACCAAGATGTTGTTCTGCTCACCCATTGTCGCCATCCTCGCCCTCAACATGTCAATCATCTACAGCTACCTCTACTTCCTCTTCACAACATTCACATTCGTCTTCCAAGAACAATACCACTTCGATGCCGGGGAGGTTGGCCTTGCATACCTAGGCTTAGGTGTAGGCTTCTTCCTTGGACAATTCAGCGTCGGCAGTGCTGCGGACAAATACTACAAGCGCAAATCCGCCGAAGGACCCACAAAACCCGAACACCGCCTCCCTCCCCTGATTGTCGGTGGATTTTTGATCCCTGCAGGCCTGCTATGGTACGGTTGGACGGCAGAGTATGAGGTGCACTGGATCGTGCCTATCATTGGGACTTCGTTCATCAGCTTCGGCATTATGTGCACTTTCCTTCCTATCCAGATGTACCTCATTGATACATTTGGTGTCTATGCCGCAAGTGCCTTGGCCACGAACACGGTGGCTAGATCGTTGTTCGGAGCCGTCCTGCCATTGGCTGGACGTCGTCTGTACGCTGCTCTTGGACTTGGCTGGGGCAACAGTACCTTGGCTTTCATTGCTCTTGCCATGACCCCAGTTCCCTTCTTATTACTCAAGTATGGAGAGAGAATCAGGACGCACCCAAGGTTTCAAGTTACTTTGTAGACATGCTTGGCAGACGATCACTTTCTGTGTCCCCTTCTTGTCTCGAAAAGAATTTGTGAAATTTATATGTCGACAATATGCGTCTGCGGGATGGTTCACTCTGGATGGATATTTAACCGTACTCAGCTTCGAGCATCGATCAATTTAAAATTCTCCCTTGATAATTCTTTATAATCACAACTCTTACCATTCGCAACAAGACATATCTGAATGTGGTTAAAGCTGCAATAAAGTTTTGATTCATAGCCTCCCTCAAGGACACTAGTCTAAAAGTGGTATCCGCCGAAGTACGTTGGTGTAGGTAAGTCAACCGACCATGGGCTCTCAGCACTGCGCCTAGGCTGGTCATTGGGTCTCCACCTCGGGATCGTTTTTCTTAATTTACTCTGCGAATAATCCCTTAATTTAGATGGTTAGTAGTCTGTTTTATAGCCCTTAATCTAAGCTTTATTTTTGCCTAATATAGTAGTAGGCTAAATCTAATAGATATAAAGTTATTAGCCTACCTACCTTGCTAAGAGTTAGGTCTCTATATTTTACTCTAATTATAGATATCTTCTTACTTATTATAGCTAGCCTATTATCATATAGATAAAAATAAAGCTTAAATCAAGGGCTATAAAATAGACTACTAAACATCTAAATTAAGGGATTATTCGCAGAGTAAATTGAGAAAAACGATCCCGAGGTGGAGACCCAACTTACCACACTAGACCTCTCCACCTTTGATAATATTAGTTTAAAGATAGTAACTTCTTTAAGTACGTTGATGTCCACCCTATGTATAAAAAAGTTCTATATAGTAGTCAAGTATGCTAGAGCGCCGTAGAAAAATGCATTAGGGGGGTTAAAATAGCTACATGCGGACGGAAACCCTAACGCTAAGTCTATTTCGCCACGATTCACCCCCCGAATCGCGCCTCACATAGGTTAGGCCTATCAGGAGAACAACTAACAGTACATTTAATATCCAATACGTTACATACAATTCCACATCATAAAAGATGGGCACATGGAGGTGAACAACGCTCTAATACACTATTCTTTACAAATTTCAGAATCAAAGAAGCTCAGGCGCATCGTCCTTCGGTTTCCAACCAAATAGCTTCAGAACTTTCATATATGTCCCAACGAACACAATCACGAAGCGTAAAGAGAATATCAAAGCCTTGCCTTTCAGACTGTCTACGCTGGGCATCTGTCGTGAGTCGTGGTGGTCAGCCTCAATGTCCTGTCACGGTAGATCGGCTGCTTGCAACGTACCATTTGAGTATCACTTTTCTTGACCCAATCGAATGCACAGGGTATCATAGCCTTCTCATAAACTGCTAGCTGCGCAGTCACATCATCGTCCTTGAGGCGATTGCCTGCTGCCTTGAGGCGTGCCAGGTCCAACAAAGGTCCCAATGCATCTGCTGTGTCGTGAATGGCCTGGTTAGCACCCATGCCTCGCGACGGCAGCATGGGGTGGATTGAGTCGCCGATCAGCCAGACACGGCTGGAGCCAAGGGATTTGTCTTTGGACTGAAGCTCCTGACGCCAGTTGACAGAGGTGGGCTGTGCCGAGCGGACAGGGTAGCTTTGTATGGCATCCTCTTCCAATACGTCTACCAGCCTGAAGTAGCCCTCGTCGGCACCGGACTCGGTCAATCTCTGACGCAAATACGCCTTCTTGTCCTTGATTTTGGCTGCTTCTGTTGGTGAGGGTCCCTCTCGCCAGTTCAAAGCAAACATTAGTGAGGCTTGCGGTTCGTCGTAATCGCCTAGCTCTGAAGTACTCGTACTGGCGTTCTTGGCATCTCTTACGGCAGTCTCAACAGAGACTTTCTCCTTAGTATTTGGAAGGTAAACAGCTGCGAACATGCTTATACTCGCAGTGGTGGTGACAATGGTACCCTTTTCAAGGAAAGGGGCCGGAAGCGTCTGCAGTGTGCTCCGTGGGAGACTACACTTGCCGAGGAAGCCGCCAGCGCCCACGGACTTAACGCCACGAATGTTGTTGAGGCCTAGCTGCTTATTTGCACGGCTTCCACTCCCTTCAGCTGAGATAAGGACGTCGCAGTCTTCGTGTGATCCGTCATCGAAGTGGACTCTTGTGATAGATTCGCCCTGCCCATGATTGCTCTGTACAATCTCGAATCGTACGAACTTCTTGCCGTAGCGCATAAGTCTTTTCTCCTCCAAAGGACTGCGTAGAAACTTGCGAAGTCGTCCTCTTCCGATCGGCGCACTTTTCGAGTACGAGGGGATTTGCCCCATGTCCAGTAGCAGCTCCCAGCGCATGTTGAAGATACATGGTGCAGCAGATGCCCCGAAACCCGACGAACGACCAAAACAGAGGATCAAATCTTTATACTGCTCGTCTGTAAGACAGGCTCGGAACCCGGTAAGAGCATGGGCGCCAAGACGGATCTGGTATCCCGATCAGAGTTTGGATCGTCTCGTTCGAAGACCAGAACATCGATGTCGCCTTGTGATTTGTTGATTAGCCCGTTGGCTAGGCACGAACCAGCGAGACCACCTCCCACAATGATGACTTTCAAAGGTGCCATCTAGACTGTATAGTGTAGGGATGTTGATTACGCAAACAAAGACGCCGTGATCGGGCACAAAACAAATCGTAGCAGAATGTTTAATGGGTAGCGTGTCTTGTAGAGATCAAGGTGTATCGTAACAGCACTGGATGGGAATTCGTGTCGTTTTTATCCAGATGATTTGAATGCTCTGAACAACTCAATATACATAACTAGTCATGTCGGTCCGCTTTTGAAAGCTTAGGGTCGGCGTCGAGACACTGGGATGCCTGAGCCGGCGGGGTAGATGATTTAAAGCTAGCGCAGGTCGCCGCGCTCTACCCCACCGGCATCGAACAAGTGTAAGGTCGCGGCACGGCCGCTCTCGGCCGTTCGTTTCGAAAGCCTTTCCCAGACCCGAATTCCTTCCATGGCGAGTTAGCCTATATTCCGGCGGGGAACAGAGCTCAAAGCTCGCCTGTTGCTCTGCGGAGCTATGAAGATTATGCGCCAGGCTGAGACAGCGCTACCAAAGATAAGAGGATTTGTCATGTGCTCGCTGCCTCGGGTGTAGCTTCGTTTTCATAGCACCATTTCGAGCGGTAAAGGCGACGTACCCATGGGCACCAGAAAGATTTGACACTGGCGAAACCGAGCGAGAGTTTATGAATATCCTTCATGGATAATTATCGTGCTGATGATGAAGGATCTATTTCACTGCTGGAGAAGCATTCCCAAGAGCCACTTGGTTGAGTAAGGAAAACTCAAGGCAATATAGATTCATGGACAGTGCCTTACCCCCCCCCCCCCCCCCTCATCCAACAACTAGTGATCCGCTACACGCCTCGGGTCAGATGGCTACAAGTCCCCGCTTTCACTATACCTCTAACACACCAGATTCACTGACTGTTACGATTCCCCCATTGACCCTTGTCTCAAGCACAACGGCAGCCTCGATTTCAGTGGGCTTGTTTGATCAAGTCTGATAATATACGGCTAGAAAGAGTCTGATTTTGGAGACATGGTAATTCCAGAGTCGTTGCTGTCTATCTATCGGGATCTGGGGAGTTAAGAACAAGCCCCTCATATAATTGCAGCATCTAGAAAGTATCTAAACCATAGTGAGATGGAAATAGGTCTTTATTCCTATGAGCTAGATACCCAAGCGACCAGAAAATAGACACTCACATGTGTGTGTGTGTGTTCTGTATGCCTATCAAAGGTTGACCTATCAATCTGGATCATACAGTACCAGATGCGCCCTCCCTATCGCTGTCCTTCTTAGCAATGTGGGCGCGTCACTTGATGTTGAGGCGCGGCCTCAGAGGCGAACGTAGAGGAGATGATAACGATGGAGGTAAATGCGAATTGGAAAATGGTCCAACCCATGTAGGGTCCCCACCAGGTGCTACCACCGTGGGCGGTGAAGCCGTATAGGAGCAACATGCCGACGCCGATTATAGCGGGAGGTCCCATTGTAATGAGATGGTGCTCCGGCATATGTACACCACGGTTGCGGGACCCTGCCCATAACACAAATCGGTCGGCGAGTAGAGCGCAGTATAGCATGCCGAACACAGAGCCAATGATGCCACCGACGTTGATGAGCCCGACGGACTCCGGCGACCAGTTGTATTCCTGTATCAGCACCTCGTTGTATGTGAGGGAAATGCCCACAAGACAACCCAGCGCCATTGACGACGTCAAAATAGCGTAAATGATGCCAGGCGACGTCAAACTCTGCGCCATGTGTAGCCAGCTTGTTACTATGACGTGAAACGGCCGCGGCTGCGGTGTAGACCATGGCTTTATGCGCTGTAGATACGTCTTCTTCCTCGGAACATCCACGCCATCACCTTCGCTCTGCTGAACCTCGCGCTGTTGAACGCGGTCTAGATGTGCTTGGGCCTCTGAATCGGGTATGATATGCATAACGCCAAACTCATCGGTGATAACAAGCTGGCCGTCAACACTGGCAGCGGAGCGATAGAACTGTGTTTCGAAGCCACCGAGCAGGACAAAAACAAGACCAGTGCTGATAGTAATGACAAAGAGCCAATAGAACCAGCGCCATCCTAGAGCGTGGTTGAGGTAAGACGTGGACAGGTTGATGACGCACCCGAGGATGCTCTGTATCATCCAGTACAACCCGAAGACACGCGAACGCTCGTGCAAGAACGTGATCTCGGTCAACATAAGCGGGAGAAGCGATTCGGCAGCGCCAGTGGCCAAACCCTGGACAATGCGTGTACCCAGGTGGGCATTGTACGAGTTCTGTACTGCGGAGCCGATGGTAGCACCCAGCAAAATGATTGTGGCAACGAGAAAGACGGGTCGGCGACCAAAGGCTAGGCCAAGCGGCAGGATGATATAGTTGCCAAGGCCGATACACAGCGTTAGTATCGTAATAAGGAATAAGATCTCATCAACTGTATAACCTTGGGGCATATACATTTCCGTCATGATGTTGAGGATGGGGGCTAATCCTTGTGCTAGCGATAAGCCCAGGAGCGAGAACCAGCAGCAGCAGAAGATGACAGAGTATCTCTCCCATGCGCTAAAGTTGAGCGGGTCGTTGGGGTCGTTCGAAGGTACAGGCACGCGTCGAATTTCGCCTTCTCTATCCAAGATAAGCGCATTGCCCTCAACGTGGCCATGGTCGTTCGTATGGTCATCTCCAAGGATCTTCTCGCTATGCTCGACATGGCTGGTAGAAGACTTGGCCTGAGTGGTGTCGAAGTCAGAAGTTGTGGCCATAATGGCTGCGAGTTGTATGTCTGTAATTTTGTATGATTGACTTTTACCTCCATTGGGGGGGGTATCAAGTGCAGATATTTAATGGAACATTGATCTTGGGATTCACTTCAGACACAAAGATAGGCGTCACACGATTTGATTGGAAGAAAATACTGGGGAGAATACTCTGGGGAAGGGACTCCGGGGTAAAGGCTGTGGAGACGAACGAATGAGCGATATTGCGGGATTGATTGGCTTGATTCGTCAACGGAGGGCTTGCGGGGGACATGCATACGCTAAAGGTGTGAAGCCGGCGGGGAGACGGAGACCCATCTAGGGCTAGCCAAGCTTCAGGGATCCTATACGAGTGAAACCGGGTTAGGGTTCAAACAAGCGTGCTGTACGACATTTTCGGGGAAAGTACAAGTAGATGTTGCACTTTGGTCGACAAGACGGCGTTCAAGGGACGATACTATGCTGTCAGTAGAGCAAAAACGCCATCTGTCTCATTGTAGCTTGCGTGCGAGCCAGCACGCAAGACTTATCCGCATACACAATCGAGCTAGTTGTTCTGCGATTGCCAGCAGAATTTTCCTGTTTTAGATGCCTATCCGTTTGCGAGGCTGGCTAATATCGAGCCTTGATAACTACCTCGTATTCCTACATCACGCCCACTATAACTATGCATAGTCGAAAATCTTATCACTGCAGAAGAACTGTAGCAGGAGCCTTTCGTATTTGAATTGTGTAAGGTCGCGCCCATTCTGCGAGCCCTTTCCGAGGAGCCAAGCAAATTTCAAGTCCCGGGCCGAAAGGCAACGGATACTGCACTTGCAGTGACGCGTCACAAGTCACCTTTGGCTGGCGGCGTCTAGCGAGGTGCCGACACCAACGCGTCCCCAAATTCAAAGCAACATAACTATGCCAAATCAACGCCAAGTTCTAGTTGAGGGACGTGATAACAGATTTATAGTGCGTTGAAGTGTAAAGGAATATTCGTTGATAATGTAGCTTGTGGCATTGTTAAAATCAACTTAAAGTCTATGCTCGTAGTTACTAGGCAATATAAATAGCAGCTAGTATACATTTCTTTTCCACAAGAGTCTTATCCCGTAAGCCTTCGGGTAGAAATAACTGGCAATTGAGACCTGCACGGTGTTGTGCTTTCTATGCCGGGCTTGTGAGCTTGTATCTATGTACAGTCTAAAAGATAGGAACGGTCGGCTAGAAACACGCCCTGCCTTCAATAGCTTGCCCGTCTGCCGGTCTGTTCACCCATTAACTCAAATCTTGGTCCACTTCAAGCCAGCTTGTAGATATCGCGCATACCCATAAGCAAAGATAGACGACAGCATGGTGCAGCCACAGAACAACTGTAGGCCTAGGAAGTTATTCCCACCGCCAGCCTTGTTCGAGATCAGTGCTCCGCCTAACGGACTGCCGGTAAGTGCTCCAAATGCATTGCAGAGTGAAGCAACCCCTAGGCGAGTACCAATCTCTGCCATAGGGCTGATCTGTGCTACACATGCAGGGAAGACGGAAACGTAACCACCCGACCCAAACCCAAAAGCAATAGCGTAGGCGATGATGGCTCCAGTGTTGCTACTCCCAGGTATCCACAGCGCCAATGTCAAGATGCCTGTGAAACCTGTGATGATCAACATAGAGTCGAAGCGACCGACAACGTCAGCAAGGGCGCCTACCACTAGGCGCCCTATGAGGCTGATTGCATTAATTATTGGTAGCAGGTAAGGGACAAGCTCAGGCGAGATGCCACTCGCTTGCTCTTGGATGATGATATAGCTCAGAGGCAGGAACATACCCCAGAAGAAAAAAAACCCCCCCAGCATCGTGAAGATCGTGATCCGTTCCTTAAAGCATCGGGTAAAGTCATCGAGTGCGAACGGCCTCGGTTGATTTTGGACGCGCGTCTTCACAGTGAGGCATGATATTCCGCAGAAGGCCAAAAAGATGAAACCGACGACCCGTAAGGCCCAGGCGAAGCCTATAGACTTGAACAGATGTGTCATCAGAATAGGTAAGACCACGCCACCCGTAGCTGATCCAGAATTGACAATGCCGAAAACTGACCCACGCCTTTTGCTGAACCATGATGTTGTAGCTGTCATACAAGCGGTGAAAATGGCGCCGGATCCGAGGGAGCTGGCGACAGCCTGCGATAGAAGAATTTGATAGTATTTGGTGGATAAAGACAGCATCATGACGCCGAAGACATAAGTGAAAGTTCCTACGAGCAGGAGCCACCGTGGGCCGTAGGAATCATACACTCTTCCCCACTGAATCATGCCCAGATAGTCAGTAAAGGACCAACGAGGATTGAGTGTAGTCGGCAGGAAGCGAACGTAAGGGAGGAGGGAAAAAGAAGACCATGAGCACTTACCAGTGCCTGACCCCCAACTTGAATAAAGATCTGCAAGCTCGTGATCCAGCTGATCTGACTGACGCTGTGGCTGGCTAGTGGATGAGCCTTGTAGTAGTCCAAAAAGACGCCCACAGTCGTAATGAGCCCGAACGTACAGAACAGACCAAACCAGCCGCCCACGACAACGAGCCAAGCTTCCCGACCACCGTCAGGGCATTCGGGCTCAGTCCTCGTTGGCAAGAAGTGAGCATCGGGCTCACTCCCAAGATCTGAAGGTTTCTCAGAGCTGCCGAGATCTTCGGCTTGGGTAGCCAGCTGCGCGATCGATTTCTCTCGCTCGCTCAAGTTCTGCGACATAGTGACGGAGTGGGGTGTCTCTCTCGTGCCTCCCTACTACTCCCAATGATGCTGATTCAATTGCACACCGTCTGAGTATCAGACAGAGAGTGTAGAGAATGCAGGGTGCAAATTTGATGGATGTAGGGTTTCTGGTCGCAGAAGACAAGCTCAGAGCGCAGAAGAGGGAACGCGGTTACCAGCACCCGACAAGGGAGAGTTCGCGGAAGTGTATAATAGTGGCGGGATAGCTTTCGAAACTTGTGTCTGAAGCGAATGAACAGGCTAAGGAGGCTTTTTTCTCTCTTTACTTCGTTTCCTTTTCTTTGTACTTTATTCCAGCTGCTGTTTCCCCAAGGACCGAGCATCCTAAAAGGGTTCAAACGAACACATGGTAGCGACTTCGCGCTTCGGTGTCGGCAAGTACCCCAACAGCGAACCGTGCGGGACATGGAGGTCACACTCCAAATTGGTCAGAGCAAGCCGGTGGGAGCTCTAGATTCATCAAAATAGCGGGCCCTCCAGCATTGATTAGAGGAACTCAACGAAGTTCTTAATCAGAAACCGCGCGGGCAACCCGGCGGGCAATCCGGCGGGGAAAAACTGGGGAGTATTGTGGCGCGGCCTCCAGTGCGGGGTACTACCTAGTGCGGAACCTCGGCTTTGTCAACTACGCATGCTCTTCTCGTGATCTGCTGCTCGTTCAATTATATGGCTAGACCAATCGTGGTGAACCCCATTACGACTATCCCCCATGTCTGCCGTGTGGTATTGATGCATGCTTGTCGCGCAAGTCGGCCTGTAGGCTGTATTTTCGAAGTGGTAAGTAGGGATAGTATTCCCCGAAACACCGCTCGCACAGGGGCCTGGGGGGTTCTTCTTGGAAACGATGGTTCGTGCGGCGTTCGTGTGAGATGTTCCTGGCTCGATAATTGCACCTGGAGGACGGCTTCGAATATTGCTTTACCGGTTGCAAAGTAGCTTTCATGTCAATTCCAACAGTGGTGCTATTCCCGGTCACATATACAATTCAGTCCAGAATAATTCAACATTACGCATCCCTTTCCAGTCTATGTTTATAATGCCTGTTGTATGTATATACACACATGTATGAACCCCATTTTTCTCATTTCTAAATCAACTTTGCATGTGTCTCTCTTTGAAAGTGCTGTCACCCCCAATCCTATAGCAGTCCCATCAAAAGTCCAATGTTACTGCTTCCACTTGATCCATCGTCAGGACCTTTGTTCTCCCGTTCTTTTCCACAGCCTCAGTAGCGGCCGTAGTCTCGATCCTCCACGGCGGGATGCAACTACACAATGGCCAGTCAGTATTAGATCGCGTCGAGTGAATAAGCATTATTTCAACCACCCCCATATACGTACGCTTCATCGTGCAAGCACCAGATGACCTTGGACGGCTGCCCAAGCCAGCCCAGCTTCATGGCTGCGAACTCGGCTGCGGAACCGTCGAAAGGCCTGCCGTTGAGATTCGCCCGACCTGTAATAGCCATGATGACAACCTCGGGCTGTGGCTGCAGATTGCGCAGAACGCCCTCGTAACCCCCTAGATGTGCGGACCAGAGAAGTGCCTTGCTGTCGATGATAATGTTGAACATTAGCTGGCCTGCATCGGCGTGAGAGAAGACGTGTCGTTTACGATCCTTGACATAGTCAATGAAGGATTGATGACCTGGAGTTCGCTTCTCTGGTGGCATAAAGTCTCCAATCTGTAAAAGACCATACTTCATGCCCATGGTAATGTCTAGTGAGCAGCTGTAAGGGCTTGCGGATCCCGTGTAAACGGTCCCGGTATCAATAACATCCGGGTGGTCTTCCGGCATAAGGCAGTGCAGGGAAGGCCATATATCGACCGAAAGGGCAGCAAGAGCAGGCAAAGGCCGCTTTGGCGCCCCGGGAAAGCCTGGTGCTGCCACGGAGGGGTCACTAAGGGCTTTCTCACGGATCGCACGGGTAAAGAGAGGGATACGCTCGCCGCCTTGAACTGGCAGCAGCTGCGCGTCGGGGACACCAGCGTTCTTGAGAAGGTTGATGGCTTCGTTATTAGCTATCACTATGGCACCGGTCTTGATGGCGATGCGATCGGCACCTGGGAGGCTTCGCGGGCACAAGAGTCATCAGCGCCAGGCTTGACGAATAGATGTTGACGAGTCGACATCATCATCTAGGGCGTTGCAAGAGCAGGACACTCACTGGTCAAAATGTGCATGAGATATAAACATGTAGTCGGCTTCCGTCACATCGTCGACGGCAAGCCGCGAGGTGAGCACAGATGGCTTGTCGAGCCAGGTGTCGAGGAAGATGGTGACGCCCCTGGTCTTCAACCGGAAGGTCGTTGCGCCTAGTACGACAGCATCATGTCAGTTGGATTTAGGTACGGAAGAAGCTGCAAAGGATGAGAGACAGACAGACCAAACCATTCGAGGGTCGTGGAATTCATGGCTATTCGGGATCGCTGCACACAAGGCCTTGCCGATGGGATGAGCAGTGTTGACGGGAGCAGCGCGTCAAAATAGTTTGATACGTTGAAGAATCGCAATAGCTGTAGGCGCCGGCTTTGATTGTTGATGAATGAGAAGCTCAAAGAAGCGCAGAGGTAGCTCGGTACTGTAGAATCCGCGCCAAGAGTCCGACTACTCTACATGCTGTAAGTGTAAAAGCTCGCTCTTAGGAGGGTTTGGAAGACGGAAGGGCAGGGGATGGGGATGGGGATGGGGATGGGGAGTGTCGCGTGACGCCATAGCCGTGAGGGATGCATTCTACAGAGGCGCAGCCGGCGGGGTAGCTACGAGATGTGTGGGGGAGGGATTGTGGGGTTTCAGTTGATGGGCCGAGCTTTTACCGAGACTAACGCTAAGTGGTATGACCGCCCGAGCTAGCGCCTCAGACCCGAGTGGGCAGTCAGTCCAGCCATGTCAGAAGACTCCTCACAATAGTCTATTGACACAGTCTGCGGAGAACCCTTTTGACTCACATTGACCGGATTCGCTGATACTGCGGCTCCGCATTTCAGCGACAACCCGACTGCCACCCAAAAGTCCCGCACACTGCAATTCCTGCCCGCACGGATTCGTGACCCACGGCACGTTGCCTCAGGGGGCGGCTCTTCTCCCCCGACGGGTGCGGTAGGTACTCCTTACTGGGTCGAAATGCAGACTGAGTTAAGCGTGCTGTCCTGTGAGTATTGCGGCGAGACATTCCATCGTCGAGAGCATCGGAACCGCCACGTCCTCCGGCACACAGGTCTCAGGCCGTTCAACTGCGATGTATGCCATAAGTCCTTCTCTCGAAAGTGAGTCTATCTGTATCCCCATTGTGGGCTGCAAGTCAACTTCACCATGTTGATGCTTTTCCTGCAGCGATACCCTCCGAAGGCATCGCGATCTACATAGAGATCGTCAAGATGGAATTCAAAGTCCTAGAGGTCGTGCCTCCCGAGCTTGTCAATCCTGTGCCAGGCTGAAGCAGCGTTGTGATGGGAATTCCCCTTGCTCACGATGCTTGGTCCGGGGCGTAATGTGCTCCTTTGACCCTTCCTGGGAGCCAGGAGCAGCCAATGGCATAGCTGATTCCGATATGATTGATGATGGGAGATCGAGCCAAAATATCTCGACCCAAACGCCACCACAATCTACTGCAACCAACGACGTGGGCAGCGTCCACCTTCGCCCTGAGACCACCCAAATAGCTCACAATGGCTCACTACCCGTTGATGTACAAACAACGTCAGGGCAGTGGGGTGACCATCGCATGATGCCCTCAAACCTCAGCAGCCTTTCTGCTATCTCGCCTGATGCTGTGCCCGCCCCGTCACTCGAAGGCCCCGCTGCATGGCGCCGAGGCTCTGACTTTGTGGCTGGAGGGTACTTTGAAGGCGGCAGCAGCAGCAGCGAATTCGTTGGAATGACCGATGATTTATGGGTACCTTGGAATCCAATGGCAATCAATCTCTCACTGCCATGGCCTTGGGATAGATTAGGAAGCAATATAGATCAGTCAAGGCTTTTCGATTCACATTACCACTTACCAGCTTTCGGCCAAGTCTCGGCTCTCACTCCATCGGCTTCACTCAATGGTACTGCGTCCCTAGAGTCTGGAGCATCCCTCCACCATGAGCTTCCAGACGAATCTCCGCAAGGTCATTGGGACCCCAGGAATACAAACCCGAATCTTCCTCGGTCATGTAGATCCTTCCCGAAGCTGACTGATGCCAGTTTGGAAGTTGCAGCTACCGAACTCTGGCATTCGAGGCTTGCAGGACTTCTATGAATCGCAAAGACGAAGTTCTCGTGCACCATTTGTCCATGACCGTATCTTTCACGCTTTTATCGACCTTTACTTCGAGCATTTCGATCCTCAATTCCCTTTTCTGCATCCACATCGTCTAAACGTTGACGAAGTACCTTGGATCTTGCTACTGGCAGTAGCTGCCGTCGGGAGCCATTATTCCGAGATGACTGATGCTCAGAGATATAATCTGACGCTTGTTGACCTCCTTTGCCGGGCAGTAGAGTCAAAGGTCAGTCATGCTATCCTGGGCGCTGACCTCCTCCCCCCTTCCCTTATACACCGCTGGTCATAGCCCATGGCAGGTCTCTAAGGATGTCCTACAGACAGATCTTGTTGTCATTCAATCTATAATGCTTCTTCACATCCTTCTTATGTTTTCTGGCTCTTATAGAGAGAGGGTTATTCTGCAGCATAAACGAAGTATGTTGATAAACCTTTGCTGGGATCTGCTGAGCAAAGCACGACCGCAAAGAAGAGTTGCCATTGATAATCCCGACATAGAAGCCGAGTGGCAATCTTGGCTTTCCAGAGAGGAAGAGATACGTCTGTTGACTTGCGTGAGAGGTAATACGAGTTGAGCTCTACCCCAGGGAGGTATAACAGCTGATTGGTGCTTTTTCACCGTAGTCATCGAGTGTCTATGCTCTCTTTCCCTCGAAATTCCCACGAACTTCAATCTCCGTGATGCCACGCGTCAACTTCCATCACCGGAAGATCTTTGGCGGTGCAAAGATGCACAGAGTTGGAAGCACGCCTATCAGACTTTACCAGGTAAGCAAGCGATGCAACTCAACTTCTTTCTAGAGCCATGCGACTAACCTTGTTGGCAGCCTCTTACGCTGAGCAAAAACGAACGTCTTCTCCAGAGCACTGGCCTAGAACGATGCTGAGGTCCGATGCATTCACTTGTAGGGCTGCACTCTTAGAGCTGCTCATCGATGAAGCAACAGTGGCTCGACAGTTGTATTCCTCCCGACTATTCAGATCCTCAGTCGCCTCCTATCTGCAAATCCCAAATACAGGCATGGGTCACGGCACATCGTCGCCTCCATTAGCAGATTTTGAGTTTATGAGAGGCGACAATACCCTTCTCGACACCTCGGTCGACTTACTATCGTACGCTACTCTAGAAGGCTCATCAATCGGCCCGCATCACCAGATAGAGACCATCTTTCACGTTTTGGCTATCTTGAGACGCGTCTCCTTAGAGATTCTTAACACAGCGACAGGATGGAAGACAACCAAAGAGAACATGCACCGGGCTAGGAGAAAATTTGTGGACTTTTGTCAACAAAACACCGTGCAAGCTCGCAGATGCTTATGGCACGCGACATGCATCTTCAAGAAGACGCGCAGTTCGCGGAAGCTGGCCTGCTACGACGTGTACAGTATACTGATCTGTACCACTTACATCTACTGCTACTGCTCATTCTTCATATCCGAAACGTCAGCATCCCGTCAGACTACGTTGATGAGCCAGAGGAGAGCCTCTGAAAAGGATTCACCACCAACTGTTGTGCGATTAGATCAGCTGAGAGACCGGTCTAGTATCGAGCGATGGATCCAGAGCGCTGAAGAACATCACTTGATTCATTTGACGGGAGTTGGGCTATTGAAAGGGTCTGACGATGCTGTTAGATTTCTTCGGGATATTGAAAGGACCCTCGAGTCCCAAATTGCGTGGCGAGGGATATGTTGTGCTTTTGCCACAACCTTTGCTCAGGTCAGGCGTGGGGAAATGCCTACCGAGTCCCAAGAAGACAATCCTGAAGAGGACGGTACCTCGTCATAAACAACATAGTATATAAACTCATATCTATGCTGGTGAATAGGTTATAGTGTGGAGTGATCGCTTGGTCTAATATCGTGTATCATGCCGTTCATATGCTTTCCAGCTTCATCTTCGACCATCTTGCATACCCGGTTTGAGATCGGGCCCTCGACCCGCCTTACATTGCTGCGCCCAGCGCTAATCTCTACTAGGCTGATGTCGATCGGACGCCACAACTATCGCATCATGCCTCTTGTACAACATGACTATTTATCAATCTCTTTCGCGAGGCGTTCTACTGATCAACTTTTCAAGGCTGCTATGGGTTGAGATTGATCGCCGGTCATTTTGCGGATTGGAATCCGAGCTGCATTGCCACCGGAAAACAGTCTCTCCTCCTGACGCCAAGCATTAGGGGTCCTCACTGTCATTGTAACGCTGAAATGCGCTGAACCCAAAAAATGAACCAAAGGCAATCGCACCAACAAGGTAGGAGCCTCAGTGCCTCGGCAGCGCAAGTTCGCCTTCCCACGCCGGACTCAGGCAGAGTGGGCGCTTCGAGCATCGCACCACGCCAGGTCCAAGGATGCACGGGTTACCGGTATCTGAACCTGACGAAGGTAACTACCTTCATAGTACAAGCCTCTGGGATACTAGTGGCCGACGTCAGGCAGCAAGGCCATCACCTCTGTCTCGCAATTAGTTTTTCCAAACATCGTCCTCCACCAAACTGTGGCCGGATAATGCCAATCCAGAGTCGCTAATGATCAGCCCGATCTCGATTGATCGACCAACTGACTGCTTGGCATTGTAAACAGCTGGGATCTCACCCAAGCCTCGTTTCAAGGCGGCCCGCTGCGGCCCATCTGTTACGATCCTGAGTAGGGGGCCTTGGCTCCACCCCTACATAGGTAGTTGGATCAGCTCCTTGGCATGTCAGACTTGGGTACGTAGATTTACTTCGAAGCCTTGTGTTTGTTACGCTTGCAAGGTCATGATGGGAGGCCTGGTCAGTGTGGGATCCGTGGAGACTTCCTGATTGGGCACTGGCGGAGATTTTATGCACTGATGATCACGATGAAGATACTGCGTGGCACACGAGTCGACAAGGCTGATGTTTGCAGCACGGAGAAGTAATTGCCTAGTTAATAGGACCTGAAATTCTACTCTTCATAGACATACAGAATGGGGAGACCCCTGCAGAACATGTTTGGGGATATGGTATGTGAAGCAGTACATAGCAATTGACGCTCAAACCGATTCCTGGAGTACGGTATAAAGACCGCCTCGACGTACCTGGTTCGAAGTCATCATTTTCTTCACTCAGCATCCTAGAACTACATCAGCACACAATGGCCTTACTCACCAAATACGCGGCAGCCGTTGCCGTCTTTATGAGCACTGTCAGTGCTATACCCGCCAGACCTCCACAAGCAGTCATACCAATGGCACCCCTATACCGTACCATCGGCCTGCACGCTCCTTAGTGGCAGCAAATGCAAGCCACAGACGCAGGTTTACCAACCATTGAATCAGCACGAGTAGCCGCCGTGGCAGGAGGGCATCATGATTAGCCAAGAAAATACGCGCCATTGACTAACCTAAATTTCCCCCCAGACACGCCAAGTCCTACACCCTCAACTACGTAGGAAAAGCATGTCAAGTCGGATCCTATTTTGCTTCCAGCCCGAGTTTCCGACTCTCTCTGCTCACAAGGAATTCGTTCCCAGCTCGAACTTAGCCATATAACAAGCAGCTTTTCATGTTCCACTGCAAACATTCATCCTAGACACTTCATTCCACTTCTTCATAGTCCGATATCATGCCTCTTTGCACCGAATGCGAAGCCCTCGTCTCACTTCTCCATGACCGCATGAACACGAAACGCCTACCCATACCGCACAAGAGCGTACTGAAGATTCTGGAATCCTCTCCCGACTGCGATTTGTGCAATCTTGTCGTCTCGGTGCGATTCAAGTGGCAGGATAATTTCGAGTCTCCGGTCGCCACCCTTGGTTCATTCAACAATGAAAATGCAATCCATGATACGGAGTGGAGAACGGAGACGAATCTAGATACTGATAAGAAGGTGAAATTTGTAATTTCAGTGGATGTCTGCAAGAGGGTAAGCGAAGTGGCATTCGATTTCCAATGGGGGAGCCTGGAAACCAACCAGATGCGACGCGGCAGAATCACGCTCGCGGTTTGGAAAGACACGCCCTGTGCCGACGTCCCTCTAGAAACAGAATGCCTGCGCCACAAACCCAACTTCATCTCCGAACACATACTAGAGCCCGAGACTGCGGATAATCGGCAGGCGCAATTACAAGCGTGCGCGTCGACCGATGTCGCGTATCGGAAATATGGCGCCCTGGTCGACGACGAGTCGGAAGAGACGCTAAATTATCTGAATGAGTGGCTGCGAGTTTGTGAATGCTCTCATGGACTCTGCAAGCGCTTGCTTACGGGAAAGAGTATTGATGGCCGGTATTCAAAGTTCGATAGCTTATGTTTCCCGTGGGAAGACACTGATGCGCCGCTCCCGCACCGTGTCCTCGCCATACATACTGATCACATCAAATTGGTTGAAACAAGAGAAGGTCAGACAGGGTGTTACGTTGCGCTGAGCCACTGCTGGGGTAACCCGGAGAACCATCCACTCAAGACAACAAAGGTGAATTATGCTGAGCGTCTCGCGGGTATCCCACTAGAAGACTTACCGAAAACCTTCAGAGACGCTGTCAAGGTCACAAAACATATCGGCGTCAAATATCTCTGGATCGATTCTCTTTGTATAATCCAAGACGACATCGAGGACTGGAAACAAGAATCTGCGAAAATGGGAGCCGTTTACGAGTACGCTCGCCTTACCATTGCTGCTGCGGATGCCAGAGACAGTACGGAAGGCTGTTTTGTAACTGTACGACAAGATCTTGAACGCATACACAAGTGCTTAAAGGCTGCCGAAGCGGAAACATTCACTGAAATGAGTGCCACATTCGAAGAAGAAAACATGTACAGGTCGAGGTTCACAAAAAGAACATCGCCGCCGAAACCACCTCAGATCACTGTTAGATCCATGGGGAAAAACGATGTACCGGTAACGGTCCATCTTGCAGCAACACCATGGCAGAACTACAACCCGTATTACACTCGCCTGGGCTCACGCGCTTGGGCGCGCCAGGAATGGTATCTTTCCCGGCGCATGCTCTTCTTCACACACGGTGGCATATCATGGAAGTGCAGACAATTCGAATGGAACGAACGCGAGGTATACTACGACATGAAGGAGAAGCGGTCGTGGCCCGAGCTGCTGCAGCGGTATTCCGCCGACGATCTGACGTACGAAACGGACCGGCATGTTGCACTGGAAGGTGTTGTCGGCCAGATAAAGACAACCATGGAAGGGTCCTACCATTTTGGAGTCTGGACACATATACCTGAGTTGCTACTGTGGGTGATGGGTGGGCCAGAGTACGACTTCAAAGGTCCAGAGGCGCCGTCTTGGAGCTTTGCGGCCAGGTGCGGATCGAAGTTTTACTGGCAGACTATGGTGCAGTTTGGCTTTAACCTGACCGCGGTATATCACATAGAAGGCGGTCTTCGAATCGATGAGACGGGAGTCTTGAGTACCACTGCACCAGTAGCATCGCTCGTAGCAACAGAGACGAGTCGAAACTGGATCGCCGCCCAGAACTACGTTCCATGGGCATGCTCTCTGATTCCCGAATCCGCACTGCTGTACTTTGCGCACTCAACAAGCCGCCCTGTGCTCTTTCTCTTCGACCCCGGAAATCCTAACCGCGAGACTGCTATTGGACTCGTGAGCCTAGACGATTCTGTAATTCCTGATTGCGTGGCCACAACCAGTCACGTGCAATGCGTTCTCCTGTCTTCCTGCGAGCGGCTTTGTCATATGTTCGACCGCAAATTGGCACCGATCATGGAGAAAAAAAGCCTCTTGCTCTTCGATGATAGTGACGGAAGCAATGTCCTGCCTTCACCTCTCCCTAACGTAATGCCGTCTCCTCAGTATCTAGAAAACCCAGTCCCGAATTTCGATTTACCTGAGCGATTCGAGGACATGATTTTGCCTGAGCTGCTGAAGTATAATTTCATATTTGATACGAGTAGGTTCGGAGACGAAGCGAAGGTAAGTGTGATATTGTTGGAAAAGGGATGTAGGGAGAAATATAACAGAAAAGCTAATTAACTTGTGAGACAGACACCCAAAGTGGGAATTGAAGGGGAAAGGGTATGTTGGGTTATGTTGGTGAGCGAGGTAGAAGGAAAGCAGGGGTTCTGGAAAAGGATTGGAATGGGTATCTTGGGGGTGGCGCCAGGAGACTTGGGGTTTAAGTACATGGACCTGAAGTTGGTGTAATAATTAAGTGGGTATAAACAATCATCTAGTAAGAGTTACCGTCCCCAGTATGCAGGTATACAATAGGTTCACAAACTCCTACATCATATCCTATCAAACGAAAAATTGCACATGGAGAACCCTTCCCACCACCAGCTTACTTACCACTCTATCAGCAATTTCTAGTTTCAATCGCTAGACAAGGAAATTATGAATCGAAACGAATCAAATCAACCGAAATGTAAATTAAAAATCACCAAGATATGGATCAATCAATACAATTTGATTCCAGAGGATCTTAAGGGTCAGCCAAAAAATGAACACTCAGATTGATTGATTTGATTGATCCCAAGTCTGATCCCAATTCCCTCGGACAGGGGCTGCATTTGGGTTTCGGTATGAGCGGTTTCTGTACGAGCGGGCTGGAACAACTTTTCAGGTCGGGCGGAGACCTGTAAAGCCATTTTTACAAGAATGATAGTAATCTTTTGGGTCATTCATACACTTGCTTGGCTGGAGTTCACATGGGTGAAGAGCATGACTAGATAAAGTCTACGGCCAAGACGGTAATATCAACCTAAAGGCTGGGGTGCATATCGGTCATTCGTCAATTCTATGGTACTATGTTGAGATGTGATCTCCGAGATTCTAATGCTGGTATGCAGTATGCGGGTATCCGTTCATCAGTTGCGCCTCCGATATTGAGCTAAAGTTATAGTATAGTGAAGCGGAGACTCGAGACCAGTGAAACGATTGATATTGGCACGAGATAATCGACAAAGAGTTTCGGAGAATTGGAAAATCCCTTTTCCGGGAAGAGGTACCCATTAGTCGTAAAGCCGTCGTGGAGATTGGAGTGAAACGCTCGTTCGAGGCAACGCTGGTGATAGCCTTGCCTAGGAGCTTCCCAGCTAGGTCAACCGCATCGAGCCAATTATATTGGCCTTCTTGAATTCTCATGATGCTGAGCGGTCGCCTAAGCAAAAGCAGAAGGGTGAATGTCGCGTAGAACGTTGGGATTCCAAGCACGAGCTAAGGGTTTGGCCCTATGTTCCACTCAGCGTGTGCATGTACAGCACCGAAGGTGCTACCATCCATGCCGAACTCAGGAACGTTATTATAATCCGTGTAGGACCCTTCAGAAAGATTGATGTTGGTGCCGTAGTTAGCGTTGAAACCGGGGGGCGCGGGTGTTGCTCCGCTCCAGGCCTGTGTGGTACCATTCGACGCTTCATGCAAGGGAGTTGCCTGAACTAATGAGGTGTTATGCAAGTATCCGTGAGAATTATTGTTATCGAGTAAAATCTCCTTTCTAAGGACGTTGAGGTGACTGTCACATTTAACATTCGAGTCATCGTTGGATGTGTCGCACTTGACGTAGTGAGGTCCCGGCTGGGACTGGTTGCCATAACTTGACTGGAAGGAAGATGGGGGTTGACTGGAAGCTCCTGGAAAGGTGTTTGTATTGGAAGAAATCTGATGGCTGTTGGCAGTTTCAAAACGGCCCACCATATTTGAAGACAAAATTCCCGCGTCAAGTTCCTTCGCATGCTCCTCCCATAGGTGCATCATTAAGGCAGAGCGCTCGAAGCTGCGGAGACAGCCATGCACGCAGCCGTATTCCTTCTTTCCATCTGGTGTATCTAGCTTGAAATGCTCCTCGTGGAACTCAGCCCAGTGCTTCTTCCAACTAGCTTCGTAACTGAAAGGTTTTCCGCATTGAATTCGCTTCCCGCTTCGTGAATATGAGCCAGGGCACTCTCGAGGCGTATAAGTTTTTGTTTTGTTGGCTGTGGTAGAGCTGGTTTGCTTTTGGCGTTTGGGCTCAGGCTCGCCGGGTGTGTCCGAACAGGGTTGATCGGCTTCTCTGTCTCCCTGGAACGACGCTTTGAGAAAGCTTTCGGTTTGGAGACGCTTGATCTAAATAGTCTGAGTTTGGAGTGGTGATAGTGTCGCCATGTGTTTGCAGTATGCGACGGTCGGCTGTGTGGTCGGAAGGATATGCACTTGCATGGGGAACAGCAGGCGGGCTCCCAGCGGCTGACAATGCTAACTGTGCGCGTTTGTTGCCTGGGCTATGGTTAGTTGTGATGCTATAATAGCTTGAGAGATACGACATGCCAGTGCGTTCGTCATTAAGCTCTGCAATGAGTGCCCAGAAGTTAACGGGACCAAGTTGTCTCCTGAGGGCATAGTAGCTAAAGAAGAAGTTTTTGCTTTTATGGTCATCGAGAAAAATCAAGTCAAGCTGTGCAGGCTCAAGACCATTCGGTTGTAGGCCACATATGAATACTAGATCCCTGGCTGCCTGAAGCATCAGGGATGTGACCTTGAAGCTCGTAGGTCGTGTGGGCGGGGAAGCCATGGTAGCACCGGAGTTGTCGGTGGAATCTGGAAACGATTTGCGCCAGGGTCCCGGGTAACAATGTAAGTAGACAGCAGAGTATAATGGTAATAAGGATTGTTGGGGAAAGATAACGCTTCTCTCTGGAGATGGTTACTAAAGAGCGTTGTCTCTTCAGATTGAAAGTATCAATGCCAGGTGGAGGACTCGCTGGGTTATAAAGGGTTGGGGGCCCATGTTTCCACGCTCAGACCGTCCTGAGCTTCGACCCAAGTACGGATTTCGACGTAAAATGTCAACTCTTGTCGGCGGGCTGGGCGTGGTGGTGGAGTTTGTCGATGGCTGTAGTTAGGAAGCAGGAAGCGTCCGTAAACACAGGACACGATCTGGGACGTGCCATTGACGCATGGGACTGCAGATCAATGTATCTGCCTTGGCAGCGGACAGGGTACGGACTGATCTTCAGCCCTTCTACTGTGATACGGGCCGGGGTGGAAGAAAGAGCTATACTGTAGAACGTAGAAGCTATACCATGAGCGTCGTACCTTTTGTATCAAATAATCCGAAGAAGGTCCTGATCTTCATTTTAGCGTCTCCACCGTACAAAACTCATGCCCTGTGCCGTAATACTTGCTGTGGAAATTGGACCGAATTCGACCACAGCCGTCAAGGGATACATCGTATATCTCGCATAGGGAACCAAGCTATTCTTGGCAAGATATCTATCCACGGAATGCTACGAGTTCAGGAACAGATGTTCAACAAGTTGGCGCAATGCCAATCGCTCGCGCACGGAAACTTGAACATTGACGGTAGCCGTTTCATGCTGTCCTGTACTCGGGTTGCCTGCCGACTGCACCCTCCATCCACATGGCTAGCGAAAGGAATAAGGAAAGGAGCCACAAACCACGGCTGAGCGTTGGAGCTGAATCGGGCTCAACAGTCTTGTACGTTATTCCACCATATAGGGAATGTCGCTTCCAAGACCAGAACTTTACACGTTGGAACGCAGTACTGCTGCTGTTGCCACCAGTCTGCGGTGAAGCCTGGGGAAATTGTAGCAAAAGTGTTGTGTGTGTGTGTGTGTGTGTGTGTGTGTGTGTGTGTGTGTGGACCTGGAGCTTGACATTGGTGAAACCTTGCCCGAGAATTGTAACATTTTGCTATGATTGTTGGAAAATAGCACGTGTTGAAGCGGTACAATTATGCGGTTGGTAGACGATGTGATAGCGGGCAGACTGACACGCGACCCAAGATCTAGACAGAGCGATAGCGGGGATCACAAGGCACATGCGGTTTCGTGTCTGGCAGGACGGGGGTGTTGGCCTCCCATCTGTCAGGGTGGCAGTGTCGCGGTCGCGCGCGAGTGCGGGCTAACCGTAGTGCCTGGCGCGAAAAATTTGCCGCTAGCTGTCCGCATTGACTACTACGTAGGATGGAGGCGCGTGCAGGTACAAGTACCTCAGACACACCAGCCATTGACGTCGGCCATTGTAGAGATCTGACAAATGGAAATTTCCTTGTATCCATATCAGCTCCTCGCAAATTACTCTTAAAGGTAAGCAACAGTTTTGTCAAATTTGTACAGAAACTTTGATCACAATTATAGGCACTTCATGTTCGCCCCCTATTCGCAGTGTATCTTCTTGCGATGTCGGCTTGTTTTGGAATTCATGGGGAAGTAGGGAAGAGTGCAACGATTCTGTGGCCGTTTGTGTCTTCACAAGGCCGACGCTTCCTCACAGAGGACAGCGCAACAACATCGCCTATTACTTACTACGCGAACAAGGCCAACATTCTATTGTCATCATCAATTTATCATTGTCGACATATCGAACAACGTGAACTCTACCGCGCTTGCTATGCTAACCCATAGCGGTAGCACTAAAGGCGTCAGTGGAGACATCATCGCGAATATCATTCTTGGCGTCGTTAACATCGCCGTGGCAGCCACTCAATTTTTGCTGGGATATTTGACCGATCGAACGTCGCATAGTAAGTGACCTCAACATCCGGTTCTGCCATTTGTCGACGCACTCATTGACACACTTAGCAACGCAATTTCGGGAGCTTCTCACTGGCTACCAACTCTACCGTCAAGATGCTCCAAGGCGCCAACAGCAGTGAGCTCGGCAATATCGCATGAGCAGACAATGCAATACAAGGGACCCATCCGCCACCACGTGATCTAGGTTTCGCGTTTTGGATCGGCGGCCATAGCGCCAGAACGAAGCTCGCTCTTAGGGCCTGTTCGGTTGCGCGGTTGCGGTTTGTGGTTTGCGTTTTTATCACTGAATCTAGGCTAGATTTTGAAAAAACAGTCCCGTGTTCGGTTAAGCGTAGCCCAAACCCAGTACTACTAATAAAAACGCAAACCGCAACCGCGCAACTGAACAGGCCCTTACTAGCCTAAATCATAGTAAGAGCTATCGTAAACAGCATTATTAAATTGACAAAAGCTCTCCACGTCTTACCTACTGACTCGGCTCAATATTTTAATTATTTGTTGTTTCGTCTTCATAGCTAAGCATCGCGTTGTGTTGGCTTTGCTAACGAGTCGCACCGCCGTTGTACGTATGTGTTATCTGGCCGTTTCGGCTCCCCAAGAATCGTGCTTGGTGCATGGTTGGAACAGCAAAACAGCCAGCCAGCCAGCCAGCCCGCAACCCCGCTCGCTGGTGGGGTGGGCTTGGTGGCTTCGAGTTTGTGGCATGGCCCCGCTCCAATAAGAAAAGAAACGAAGGATGGTAATGTGTGCATCCCACTCTCATTAATTTTATTCACGTTTTCATCCGAAAAGCTGATTCCTATATTGACTCGGCGAAACGGTCGTTTGCTTTCCGTTTAGTTAACAAAACAGCTGATGGATAGATTGCAGTCTTGATGTCATAAATTCACAACGTGCCATGCTCGAAACAGGCAGCTCCTCACATCAAATGAATGACTTGGTTAGGCATCTCTTGAAGATGGTCAAACCGGACGCCATTAAAGATCGAAATGCCGATTCTCTCCAGCCACAAAGTATCTTGGCTTCCTTGCATACTCTCCCGCCCCATGACTTTTGGTATGGCTTTGCCTATGCACTCCCGGAGGATCAGACAGAGCTTTGCCCCAGATTCATATTCCTCGAGCAAGGGCAACAAATACACTACCGAGTAGTCTGACGGTAAATCATCTCCAGCATCAATACAGTACTCTCTCGTGCACTTTCTTACATCGTCTAGAATCTCTTTGATGTCTCGGGAGAGATCCCACTGCTGCACGTGGTACGCAGGGACAGCCCACGCATACTCTTTGGCACAAAGTCCCATACTTGCTTTGAAATCATGCCCATGTCCACGAGTCGAGAAGTGGACACATGAGTACAAAGAGCCTCGAATAACGAGATAGCGACCACCAGGGTCTTTGGGCCAGGCATTCTTGTTCAGCGATCGTATGCTGAGGAAGGGATTCTTGATGTCCATGAGACACTCAACTCGGTCGATCGAGGCGACTTGGGTGTATTTACTGAGTTTCCACTTGTCGTATACAAGCTCGCAAGGGCCAAAGCGGGAAGCCCATGACCAACTTGGAATCGGCATCTCCTCCGACCACTCGATGCGCTTCGGATGTGGTCGACAATTGTCGCAGGCCCATGAACTGGCACGTGCAGAAACCCATTCGCGACTTCGCCAACACAAGTACTTGATCAAGTCCTTCTCCCACAGTCCTGCAAAGTAGTGACCTAGATCACGACCTTCACTGAATTTTGCTGCTACTCCTGCAAATCCAGGCAACAGATCAGACCGCCACTGACCGAACATGCGCGAGGTGTACTGCCGGACCAATTTACCCCAGAGTCGGTAGGGATCATCGTGTGGCATTGGGCCTCTAGCCAAACTACCGGCGAAACCCTGTTCAAAACTCCAATGCTGATGGCATTGGCATTTGTTCACAGCACCTCTTTCCTCATACAGATATTCGTGGTCGGTGAAATGGATTATGCGGTTTGAAAGTACACGCTCCTGGTAACACCAACCTCTCTGGGACACAGAGTTCCAGTATTCATTGTCAGCAAGCTCGTGGACACGGCCGACTGCTGGAGCCATGGCTTTGGCTTCTACAATATCCAGAAGCTCAGGAATGCGGCGTACATGAACAATCGTGGACGCTTCCCCGACTGTGAGCGTGATGTCCCTGAAAGGCATGTATCCGTGCGTTGATCCATGCATGGCGACGGTGAACCACGCATTCGCGTAGACTTTGTGCATGTTTGCAGCTTCTTTCTCCCATTCTGCAGTATTGTCCTGGACAATGCAGAGAGAATCGATCCATAGATACTGCACTCCGAGGCGCCGACACAAGCGCACAGTCTGTCTGAAGCTATCCGGTAGTTCTGACAAAGCCAGATGCTCTTGACGAGCCTGAAGATTGCTGGATAGCGTTTTGGTTGATTCGATATCTTCTCTTCGCCAACAATGGCTCAAGGTGGCATAAAGTTGTGGCCCCAATCCCTTCTCTGGTTGAGAAATCTTTATGTCACTGTCTTCCTCCATGCAATTGCCAAGTTCAAGTACTCGATGGGGCAGTTCTGATGGTATGGGTGCGTCTCTCATAAGACTACTTCGCAGCTTGTCGAACTCGCGTGCGTTTTCCCAAACCGATAGGACGTGTTGAGATGTAATGATCGAGCTCGGAAGCGTTGCTGGCTGCTGGTCTGTTTGAACACGGTAGTAAGTTTCTGTAAATGGTATTCACTAGCAGATGCAACCGGAATGAGACATACCTTGTGTGCTATAAAACTCAAGCTGGTACTTTGTTCCATTGTCCTCTCCTTCCAGCACAAGGCCATGTCTTGCCCGTAAGTGCCAACGCCCTGTGGTCAGCGAATCCAGTCCACCAAATTTGTGCATGGCATCTACTAGGAGTTTACAGTACGCACAGGAATCGTTAGCTCTGATTTGTCTCAGGTTGATGGGAAATTTCCACAAAATGTCATCGTTTGTAAGGAGTTCCCGCTTGAGATCTTTGCAATCCTCGCAAACCGATCCTTCTGTTTGAGCATGTGACTCCATCTGTTCCCTGCCTTGTCCTTTTTGGGCACTGTTGGCGAGCTTGTTAATCATGCGCTTAGTTGGTCTCGTGACAATCAGAAGTAATCTTGACAAGAACATTGAGAGTCCACTTGAGTTTGAAAACTTGAAAGAGAATTCGTGTCGACCAGTATGGAAGGAGTAAATTCGTTAGAATCATCGTTGCTTTTATAAACAGATGGAGTCTCAGCTGCCAAGCTACTCAGGCGGGGAAGTTCACCGGATGAGAAGAAAGGTAACACTATTTGCGCCGCGCAGGGAATTTCTCGAATCGGATCGAATGGATCTCAGCTGTCTCAGCCACAAATACCAACCAGTGAAATAACATCAACGAGACAAAGACTTGGGGAGAAGCAGGGTGGATGTTGCGCCAAGCCATGGGCTGAGTGTAAAGTTCCTAGCCATCTGACCAATGGGGTTGTGATCATCGGAATGAGATAGTGGGTTCGTGTGCAGCATGGACGATAACATCTCCGGTAACAGCAGCTACTGTGGCTAATTATTTCCACAATATAAATTGCAAGTTAATACAATTTACCATCAATCGTCTTCAGTAGTATAGTGAATACTGTGACGGTTGCCATCTCTACGCAAACCTGTTTTAGGACTAACGCCCGCTAAGCTATACTGAATCTCCTATTATAGTTGTCCGCTCTACGTGAACACATTTTACGACAACAGCGTGCCTAGCTGTACTAAAACTCCTATTTCGGTGACTAGCCTTAGGATACAGCAAAACTCAACGCTGCTTTAAAAGCTCAGCAAGTACATGGCTGCATAATGGCGACCTTCTCATTTTCCTTCTTCCTCCTCTCCCCTCCCTCCCTCACTCTTTCTTTCTTTCTTTCTTTCTTTTTTGCGTTTCTTGTACTATTTCTTCTCTACAATATACCTCTACTAAATCATTAACATATTCTTATACTATATTGCCTTTTCTCCTTAAGATTGCGTTCGAGAAATGTGCATTAGGCTATTTTCCTGAAGTTGAAGGCCCCCAGAGAACTGTACCATACATTTCCAATGAGGCTTAGTACACGGAAGGGTCACATTGCAATGAATGAACGTAGATCATGATACTTAACACATCCTTTAAGTCCTTGTGCTCCGCATAGAATATAGAGTTATGATTAGAGATTGTGTAGATAGAAAAGAGCCTTACCCCTTGACCGCCTTTTATATTCTTTTTCTGTAACACAATTCAATTACTGTGCTTTGAGTACAGGCTCAGGTCGTAGCCGTCATCATTTACCGCTTTTATGTTATGGTTGGGGTCCGTCGCACCACAAGAAAGCCTCAAGATAAAAAGACCTTAAGTCAACACCACGCCAAGCATTTTCAAAGCCAACTAAATGACACAATTCCGCTACTTCAATCAGGTCCATCCGCGTCAATCAAGCAACAGCGTGCCGGCGAACTTGCTAGGATACGACCATGAGTAGAAGAGTGGTCAAAATCAGGAATCAGTGGGAAATATATTTCACCGTTTGAACCCCAGGCGAGAATGCAGCCATGACAGCGATTTTTACTATATACATTTCTAGAGGCAAACCAAATCCTGTTTCCGTTACCCATAAAGCAGCGGTGTGTCGATGTTGAATATTCCCAGTAGACAACACGCCATGTCCTCCGCACGTGTTATTGAACTTTGCGATTCCTATGACATCCGCTTTGCAATGCTGAAGGATTTAAGTTTGTAAATCATTCAAGCATGCTTTCTTCAACTGCCTCCCCGTCAATTGCTGTTATCCTCGATATTCAACGCGCGTGCCTTGACTTCGTGCCTAGCACTTTGCAGTCTCGACCACAGAAAACCATGTTACTAGGTGCTAGCAGTTCTTGTAGCGTTTAACCTCGAATGAACTATTTCTTCTTCTTAATCGCTCATTTCCATATTTATAAGTATATCGGGTTCCGAACATATTGCTTGTCATGTTAGCCGAGGATATGCAGCATCATTTTGCATTCTTGTACCACCAAGATATAAAGTTTGTTGCTTCTGAGAGTTCGGCGCTGCTTGCTCTATCAGTGCAGCAGGTACTTACCCAGAAATTATTGCAATCCATACAACAAAGCTTACTTGGCACAGAAGGTAAGCTTTCGGTAACCTGCCTTGTCCTCGCTTGTCCGCTCTCTAAAATCTTTGAAGGTGACCATATCGTCCTCGGCGGCCTAGGTACGCGAAAACATTGCGTAACCTGGTATATGGCTTTTGCTAAGGGGCCCTCTAATCAGACGATTGAGATCTGGGATATCAACAGCGGTGTGTAACTACAGAAATTTAGGGGCTAGGCCTGCTATAGTAGCAATGGTTCAGCACAATACTAGCCGCCAGCTGGCAGGTAAGGTCTTTCTCGCATAAGTCATCTCTGGGTGTGCTTTGGCGCAATCAAAATATGGCTAGGCCACTTCTATACAACATGGCTATTGGTTGCTAATTCGCTGTCCGACTCGATTAAGTAACAACTCACTGCTCGGTGGCTATTGTGATTTTTCCTGTCACTTTCCATTCTCTGAGGCCAATCATTCCCATATTCGGAACGTTGATTCTGAAGTATTTGTAATCTTTCGTCATTGCTTCGCTGGATCGCTCTCCAGAAAGTCAATGGATGTTTCCTTAGTCTGAGTCGCGACGGGCTTAAGGCTTTCACGACCTAGACCAAGTTTCCCCAAACTCCTTCATAGGTGCATCGCCCGTTCCGATGCTAACCATGAGTGGTTCTTCAGCTAGCCAAAGACGTTTTACTTTCTCGTATACAATATAGATAGGGCTGTTGTTCGTCAACCCGCCATCAAGATATATCTGTCCTTCAATATCGATAGGAGGGGAAAAGGTAAGTGCTGCTGAGGTTGCACGACATGTTTACCATATCAAGCAATTCTCGACGATTGACGACAAACTGGAGATCGCAAGCTTGGTGATGACTTGATAGGTGCAAGCGGCGAAGCTAGTAATCAAGAGGCAAAGTAAGTTGTCTTCGTATCAATTTGTAAAGCGCCTCGCTCACACTTTCCAAACTCTACCGCACTAATGGACCCCATTATCTTTCTTAAACAGAAATAAATCTGGATCACCTTTCCTACGTTTCATATTCAGTTCAATTGCTTATTAAAAAAATTCCCGAGCTCTTTATCATCGAAGGTATCACTAGCGCTCGAGAGACTAATGGCAGATGCAACTATATTGAATATAGAGCGTAATAGGGTTATGTTTCTATTTGAATGCGTTTTGTATACTGCACAGAAATCTGCTATAGTTATTCAAAGGCACCCGAGAATCACCGCAACAACTCTAGAAGCAACTCGCAAGAATCTATAGAGACAAAAGCATAATTTGCGAAGTTCTGTGAGACATGTGTTATTGGCTCATACATGTATCCTATATTGACTTCTACGACATAATTTTACGATTTGTTCGTTCTGCTTTTAGGTTTGGGTATTGGGCTATTGCACTTGCCAGAACTAGTAGAAACAAACTTGCCCATCGGGTCGGAGAAAACTGTACAAATCATTCCATAAGTTAACTCTGAACAATTAAGTAGGCTAGATTTTACCGATCCACTGGTCTTCTATCTGCGGTTCAGTGACTAACCGCCACAACACTCGAGTTTTTCAAATGGAGTTCTCCAGCAAACGCCCCCACCTGCACCCAGGCGGCACTACTCGACAGATTGAACTGAGTCTGAAAGCCAATGCGTGCTACTTCAGCAACCAGCGATAGTGAATCGTTCGAGCTGCCAGCATAAATAGCCCACTTAGTCGTCTTTGTATCTCCATTCCAACTGACCCAGCCCTGACCCTGCTTAGCGATGACGTTTGGCGAGTATCCTGTCGGTGAAGCATCCCAAGTCTGTCGATAGACGCGATACGAACTTAGGCCTGAGATACTCATAACAACATCTCCATCAGGGCTAAACTCTTTGAAGTATTCCTGGTTTCCGTACCCGAGGAGCACGTTGTCATTGGATAACTGCTGATAGGAGCCTTGAGAGGTAGAGGCTATCATCTGATTCGGGTCCATGTAGAGACTTTTCAGGGTAACTTTATAGTTTTCGAGATCCAGGTATAGTAGTAGGCCATTCGAAGGTAGGTCGCCTGATGCATTCATGTCGTTGTACATGTGCAGTAAGAGGGAACTCGAAGTCTCGTTCTCCACTCGAACATGATGCTGCCAAGACTACTGAAGTGTAAGTATTCGACTATTGAAGAACCAAGTGCGTGATTGGCTGAATGGGATGCGCATCATTAAGATAGCCAAGACTTACAAAGTTAGCCACTGTAGGCAAGGCAAAATCTCCGCCAGTTGACCCCTCAAGTGTCCATTTGACACGTCCGTTTGAATCCAAGGCATACGAAGACCAGGTATGCCGCGAGTTGGCAAGATAGCCATCATTCAATGTAGTTACGGAGTTCATATGGAACCAATCAAAGGGATTCGATTGCGAAGTACCCGTCGATGATAGTGCCTGCTTGGTTGAATTGATAGGGATACCTGCTGCAAGGGCACTCCATACAAACAAAATGGCGTTGGTCTTGATGTCAATTTCAAGGAAAAGATTGTCGTATACCCATCCAACCTCGGGTCCCCCAACCGAGGTCAAGTCTGCTGTAGTAACATTCACGGCGGTGGAAATAATGGTACCACGTGTCGTCAGGAAGGACTCGTGCAAATCAAGACTACATCCCGTTGACTGACCGGTGGGTGAGGTCAGGGTCAAATTGGGACAGATAGTGTATATCTGGTCGTAGTTTGTGTCAAGGATGTTCACCTGACCGTATCCGTGTGCGAGATTGCTCCCAATTCCAATCCAGTAAGTTAAGACTGGGCTACCGTCCAGATATTGGACAAATAGATTACTTGCATGTCCTGAAGGCCCATTCCAAATTAAATCCCCGGAGTCCGTCATCAAGAGTGGCCCATATTCTTGACTGGTCATAAGTAAAAGTCCATTGGCGAGTTGTGCATCAGATTTGTTGACCGATAGAATAGGAGCGTAAAGTTCAGGTGCGCTGATAAATGTTTGAGACGGTTGAGCCTCACCGAAAGACTGTGCGATGGTAAGACCAGCAAAAATAAGTATAGGTAACATAACGAATGATAAATCGTCGACCACTGGCTGAGGTTTCTAGTGATAAAAACTGATTGCTGTCTACGAAGCCAAAAGGGAAAAAGTCTCCTATTTATCAACAACTGTTTACCTTGCGACAGGGCTTTTCAATAATTACTGTGGACCTGGGGTATGAGAGTACGATGCTAGCTCTCTCACTGCCTCGTCATTTGTTATGATCAACCCTGGGATCTGTAATATCGACCATTGCAATAGACTTCACTGTTTTTCTTAGTAATGGACTCTTTAGCCAAGGAGCTCTCGTATTTCACATTCACCCTTCTCGATCAGTTAAATTGATGATTGGGGATACATAGACGTGGCGTATCATTGTTGTTTACCTCTACAGCTGGTCAAGACATTGAGCCGTGCCGGTTGTGGTTTACCAAAATATTTCCGTGTGTAGTACACATTAGGAGTAGAGGCTAAGCTAGTCCTGACATCGAAGTCGCGCCCGAACGGCCTTAATATCTAATTTATCCATGCACTAAGATACTGCAATGAAATGATTGGGCGGCGCATGATCAGCCCCAGTTGCAAGCCGCGCGTATCTGCGCTTTTTGCCACGTAAGAGGCCGCGTATGTAGCTGCGCAAGAAGACGTTTTGAACATTTCCTACTAACAACAGACAGTAGAACGCGTCATGATACAGCACAGACTGTCCAGACAACCCAATCACGCAGTAGCTCCTTCGAAAGGACCGTGCTTCCACGTGGAACTCTATCTTGATTACGCATAGCAAGATAGATGGAGCTAGGGAGACATTTCCCATCCTAGATAGCGGAATCTGCTATAGGTTTAAAGGTATTTTAGAAACCGTGCCATGACTCATCGGCCTGACGGTTGTTTGGATAAGTTGATCTCACTGCTGTAAAGATGAAGCCTCAAAGCCTAACTCATGACATTATTCGCTCCCTTCTTAGTTTTCTCCTTCTAGATCCTTACTTCTCTTTGCTCTTATTTCTGGTTCTCCTTAGTTGTTAGATGTTTGTTACCTGGAGTTTACCACATCTTCTCCTTTCCTTGCAGGTATGTAGTTAGCGTCTCTCACTGGAAATAAAGTTCGGCCCACAATCCTTGCCTAGCTCGATGTCGCCTCGTCGTCGGGTCCCGAAATACGAGAGTTGGGATTGGATTGCTAAGGTGGAGAAAAGATCGGACATGGGTGCCTTGACCCCGCTCAATACTTAGTCCTATAGAAAAATATACCTCGCTCAATATAATGAGATTAAATTAATTTCCATCAATAAGCGACTACCAATCTTCAGTAGTATAGTGGTCAGTATTTCCGCTTGTCAAGCAATTGACAGATCGCGGGAGACCGGGGTTCAATTCCCCGCTGGAGAGCTTGTTTTTTTTTTTTAATTTTTTGATTCCGGTTCTGGTATGAGCTGCTTTCTTGTTGCGGGGTAAGCTCGGGCATATAGTTTCCCGCCACCCCACCCAAAGTTGCCACTCATTACACATAGAGCTAAGAGAAAGCGCTGCGGCTTCTGCTGCTGCCTTTTCAGCTTCTTTTTGTGTTGAAATAGCTGCCCGTTGTGCCTGTAGAGCTACCGCTCGGGCAACAGCAGCCTTAATACTCTCAACGTTACTAAAGGGTTCATTTAGGCTAACTTCAACTCGTTTTCTTACGCGAATAATCTTATAGCTATCCAGTCAATACCTAAGATGTTAATTTTAAGCTTTAAGTTAGACAGGTCTAGTATTTGCCTCCGTAATAGCTTTACCTACTTTACTAAGCACAAGCCAGGTGCTTCGTAACAGAGATTCTAACAGTAGTAGCTACTATTAGATCTTATGTAGAGCCTGTGAGCTCCGAGGGGTATTAAAGACTTATTCTAGTAGTTCCTAGGCCTAATGGGCGGCTGGCGGAGTAACTGGTCGGCTAGCTATTTAGGACGAGAGCAGCACAATGTCTAGGTTGTATAGATAGAGTCCAGCAGCCCTCCAGCAAGCTCTAACGACATGCTATAATAGTCCTTCTACTCTAGCTTTATTGTATGATACAATAAAGCGCTCTTTCTTTACTGGCGCTGCGTCGTCAAACGCTGAGAGAGCTTGAATCTGATAACGATAGCGAGACTTGAGTACAGAGACGGGAGCTAGGTCTAGCGACTGCAGCAAGTAAGAGGTATGCGCAGGAACATATAGTAGCTGGATCTTGTTCACCTTATAGAGCTGCATGAAGTCGATAGGTGTGTGGGAGCCATAGCCATCAAGGAGAAGTAGTCGATATCCACCACTTGTAGGCGCTGTATTTGGTATAAAAATCCGATGCAGCCACTCAGATCTAATTAAATTCGATATCCACCCATTCTCTGACGTAATGTATAGCCAGCTTAGTGTACCAGTAGCCGGAAACCACATAGTCTAAAGATGCTTGCCCTTAGAGATAACTAGGCACTGAAGCTTGGCGCCTGTGGCGGAGATAGTCTTAATAATTAACACCCACTCGCGATCCTCTAGAGACTTAACGTAAACTTTCTTCTTTAAAGAGCTTATAAGTACTCTAGCGTTCGTACATACCTCTAGCGCAACTCTAGTCTTATCTATATTCTATATATCTTTATACTATATGCCTAGCTCTATATGCGTACGTTTAAACAGCTCAGGAAAGGCTTTAATAGTCTCATAGTTGGCACTGGTAGTGCGCGCGCTCCCAATCTTTTGGCTGACTATCGATGCGACGCGTGGGTTACGGGCAACAAAGTAAGATACCCATAGTTGTCTAAGTAGTTAGCAGTCGCCGTTTATGCGTAAAATTCTAGTAGCCATTTCTCGGACGCGTGGACGAGATGGCGGCTGTGCGCGTGAGTCTTTTTCTAGTATCCACTCTAACTACTAGACATTGCTCTTGCTCTGGAGTCAATCGCTGCTGGTTTTGGTGAGCTATCGGGTGTAATTGTTGGCCTACTCGACGGCCTTGTAGCGTTGACCGCGGGATTTTATGCCAACTTACAGCTGCCCGCTCACTTTTAAAAATACCAGAATTAAGATCTGTGATAGAATTTTATATAACAAGCTCTCGTGGATCTATATTGAAAGCGTGGTGTTGGAAAAATCACAAGTTCAAGTTGAATGGCCACTTTGGGTGGGGTGGCCGGAAACCATACTGGTACAATGTGGCCGGAAAGTATACTATGCCCGAGCTTAGAGCCACCTTCGTTATTAGCCTTGGACGTCTCATCACCGTTTCAAGCCACTGCAGCACATTGCACCTATTAGGGCTACAATCTGTTGGCGCAGATCTGGGACAAACGGCGTCTCAGATTCAGGGCAAACCTACGTTCAGTGGCCTAGGAGGCGGCGCAGTTTGTGCGAGGGCGCAGTACGATGAAGACAAAAGCTCGGCTTGCTCCCTTTGTCTTCTTTCTAGATAATTCGCACTTTTAACTGTGTATAGCTAGCAATCGTGTACAAAATGGTGTCCACAAGACGTGAACAGCCGTCCCCCAGGCGATCGCAGCCTAAAAGACGAGGTATAGAGGGTTTATCATTGACTCTGCGTTGCTGACATGTTTAGTTTCTGCTGCATCTGTCTTGGGGTTTGACCTCTGCAAAAGATGTAAACGTATCGATCTAGACAAAGCGTTTCGGACGAAACATCTTACAAGAGTGGGTAAACCATTCTACAAACTGAATTCGATAGAGAACTGGAGCATCGACAGCTGTTCGCTCTGTCAACTTATGCTTCAACTCGTTCCGTCGCAAGCAAGAAACTACAAAAGCCATGAGCTTCGATCATTGAGCAGTAACAGAATCCCGGGAAGGGGTTGGCAAGCTGTCGACACAACCATGCTCGCCATTGACGGAAGCTCAGCTTTCCTACTCAAACAATCAGAGAATGCCCCAGTTATTCGACTTATACAACCCAAAATCGACCCTGAGTTGATCAAAAGCTGGCTCAACTACTGCCAAGACAATCATTCTAGTTCATGTGGTATAGGAGATGGACCACTTTCGTCCAAGTTCATCACATCCCCACTCTCTGCAATCACCTCGTTTAGAGTAATCGATTGTGCGACGCGACAAATTGTTCATGGCTCTGGAGTCCAATACGTGGCTCTAAGTTATGTATGGGGAGCGGGTGAAAGAGGTCCAGATTTTTCTCGAGTGTTGCCGCCTCAGCTGCCTGAAACTATTGAAGACGCTATTGTCATTACTCAATCCTTGGGTATGCGATTTCTCTGGATAGACCGGTTTTGTATCAATCAGTCTCAGCCAACTGAAGTGCAGGAACAGGTGGGGCACATGGACTTGATCTACAGCTGTGCTTATCTCACAATTATTGCCGCTGCAGGAGCAACCCCCAATCACGGCCTCCCAGGTGTTGGAAAAAGATGCAGACAACCCCAACCGCACGGAATAGTCCGAGGACACATGCTAGTATCGTCTCTCCCAGATCCAAGAGGCGAAATACGACATTCGAAATGGTTTCAACGAGGCTGGACTTATCAAGAAGGCATTCTTTCTCCCAGACGACTTATCTTCACCGACAGTCAGGTCTATTTCGAGTGCTCTGGCATGTACTGTTGTGAAGCTCTCAACCTCCCCTTACGAAGCCTCCATAATCAGAAGGGCCACCGTTTTAAAGCACAATTTTGTGACAAAATCAACATTGGGATGTTCACGAGAGGAATCGGCACGTCAGGATGGGAGATAGTCCAAAGAATCGAAGAATATACTGAAAGGCAGTTGACCAATCCCACTGACATCTTGAAGGGGTTTCTTGGCGTCTTACACGCCTTTGCAAGGAGCCGGAAACGAGTGTTACATTGTGCTGGTGTGCCGATGATTTCGGCATCTTCACAACGAAGGCCTGGTCGGGAATCAAAGCCACATCTCCACGGACTGTCTCCACTCACTGGATTTTATGGGGGATTATGTTGGGGGGTTGATGCACCAGCAGAGCGGCGTGAGGGGTTTCCATCCTGGTTGTGGACAGGTTGGCGAAGCAAGATAAGGTGGGAAATGAAAGACTGGGAATGGGACCTGCTGGACCTGAACAAGGATCTTCAAATCTCGATTCAGCTTGAAGATGGTAGCGTTGTTAACATGGAGAAATTCTGTCACGCCTATGATGACATGAGCATGAAGATTTCCGACACTTTGCATATCGCCACCTGGACCTTTCCGGTGCGAATCTGTAGAAGTCAGACAATTTCCTCCACCTTGGAGTATAAGGCAATAGTACAACTCGAAGACAAAGGACCATCCGTATGGACATTCGCACCAACTTGCACTACACCTATTCTTCCGGGTACCAAGTGCACTGGGATACATTTGTTTCACACCACTGAAGGAAGGGACCTTTCAAGACTGTATGTTCTGGTGATTCGGGAAGTGGAGGTTGGAGTATATGAGCGAGTGGGTTTTGGTCAAATGGATAGTGATATGAGGACGGTTTCTGAGTATACGGGATTGAGGCTTGGAAATCTGGATGACGATGAATTGCAAACACTTATAACAGTATGGCGACCACTTCCTGTACCAAAGAAAGTATGGAAGGAGTTTAAGCTTCGTTAGGCTGTAGTCAACTATAAAGCGTAGCTATCTGCAATAAGGAACAGAATGAAGGGTGTTTTTAGCTTTCTTCCAGGAGAAACTATAAATATTCCAACCTGACAATTATTCTTTGGAAGATCAGCCTCAATTCTCTATTCGTAGTCTGTGCTTCGGATCAATAGAATGCTAATCTCTAAAGGCATAATTGTATAAAGTGTATTCTGTCCTATAATTAATATCACGCCGAGATAATATGTAAATCCTAAACAAAGCAGATAGAGTGTTACTCTATACTAGTCTGAGAAAGAGAACTTGAAAGCAATCTTCTCAACATATTTCCGCGTATCAGAGTCAGGTTCTTCTGCGTTATTGTTAGCTTAATTCTACTTAAACTTAAACCCTACCCTCTTAATCTAGTATTATATTTTAAGTGTTGTAGATATAAGCTATCCGGCTGATCTACAATGCAAACTGATCGATGTTAGATCGATTTATTGGTTCATACTCTATAATAGATTGGATCAGATCCATCAATTACCGATTGTTGATCAATACTCGTTTGATTCAGCAGAATTCTGGTGATCAGCAATTCACCCAGATTCTTGTCAGGTCTCAGGCCCAACCGGCTTACTCAGCCACTTGAGCCACGAGTTTGGCCTGCTGCCTTCTCTTGATCTCTTTGTTGTTTTCTTTCTCTTCACTCGCTTGGCAAGTTGCAGACTTGACAAGCTGATTGACTAGCAATCAGATTACTAGTCAAGTTATTTGTCTCAGCTAGCTTGCTAGAGCTGGCAGCTTCGACCAGCCTATTCCAGCTAGTTCTATCGCTATTATCAGCCGATCTCTAGAGTGTATATATCCTAGAGCTCGCTCATAGTTAGCTCAGTATCTGCTATTTCTTTACCTCAAATAGATCGCTCTTTTCTTACTTTGTTTGACCACCTGCACTGCGCGAAGTCGCCCTCACAATATAGGAATATCGGACTAGAATATATACTCTGTAGCTGTAAACACAAAGATGCTTAGTTCTTGGTGATGCGTTAGCAATTAGATGTATAAAGTGATGGGAAGAACATAACGAGTTTCCAGACATGGACTTGTGCATAGACTGCAATTTCCCTGAAAGAGTTTAGTTTTGGAATTGGGACTATTGCTACATGGAATATCTTACTTAATTAGGTAATTGGAAGATTTAGAATTCAATTGAAATTTTATGTTGATAGTTGACTAAGTGCTAAGTATCCAATTTAGCAATCTAGCCGAGAACAAGTGATAGTAAATATCTAAGCTGGAGAGCGGGGTTTTTAGCTAACACCACCATCTCCAGAACTTTTAAAAGGCAATCAGGTAAACAGGAAACAGAAGGTGCAGACTAGTTTGAGGACAGGTGCTCCAGTCAAAAGTCAGGTACTTATAGAGGTCTGGCAAAATCCCTTCGTACCCTAGTTTCTTCCTCCAAATGCCGTGACCATCCTTGTCACATGTCTTTTACCTACTGCTGAGCGACCTCTACTACTGCTGTTCATTCTCTCCTCAGTAAGCTCGAACGATAAAGGAAACCAATATGGGTGCGTTTGGTTGCTGCGTTTCTCTCTACCAAGCAGCATAGACGCAAGCGCTTGTCCACAAAGCCATGCAAAACACATGCCCTCTCCATCATAAGCCGCCGAAATCCATTGCGCACTTGTTGTAACAGCACCAACCGATCGGTGGGTAACACTAGTTGGAATCATACCGACGAGCGGCCTGCCGTCGGAAGATGCTCCTTCCATGCTAGTCCAGACCCTCTTCGTTCGCCCAGGAAAAATAAAAGAACTGTTTTCGAATGGGAAGTCGCTTCTCTCAGGCCCCCAATTGTCATACCCTACGTAGCCTGGTAGTGCGCCGTTAAGATACGCGGCCATACTGTGATTAGGAGGGAGACTGTCATCGGTGTCGACATTGGTAGTGTTCGCAGCGCCATCTCCTCCACACCCACCTCCAAACATGAACTCTCCATTCTGTGGCATTTGTACGATATAATCCAAGCCACCCCGATATAAAGACCAAGCTCGGCCGGTTGATAAACTACCATTTCCAGTAAGCGATGGCCATTCTCCTGCTTTAGGAATATCAGCACCACCAAGCTGGGCACTCACGTGCAATCGTCCACCGGCGATCTTTTCTTATAAACCTAGGACTAGATGGGGAATCCAAGCAGTGACTGCGTTAATCGCATGGCGAGCTTGGATCTTGCCGCGAGATGTTGTGACCTCAAGCATTGCATTGCCAGCGTTGGTTGAGTAGACATTGAGAGCTGGCATATTTATGTCGAGGAAGAAGGATGGATACTTATCGACGAGCGACTTAAATTTATGCGTGACGAATCGGTATGGCCAAATGGTGCCTGCGACCTTCGAGCTACCCGTGATTATGCCTGCGGCCTCCCACCGGAGAGATAGCTACATCATTAGCTCTGCATATGTTACTAGGCTTAGGAAATAAGCTTACATTTTGCGTTTCCTCCTGGTCAAAAGCCGTGAACTCGATCCCAAGATCCGGCACTTCCTTCTTAAGCACATTCAACTGCCTAACTGCCTCTATGCTGTCCACGACTCTCGCTTCTGAGGCCTCAAACCCCTCATCATCTAGCTCATTCGCTGCCGCTATGAGTGCGTTGATGTGAGCGGCCCTCATACGCGTAATCCTTGCTGCTTCGTCTTTTGAAACGAAGCCCTTCGCTCGATCATATTCTGCATACGAAGACGGGCGAATGTGGCCACCGTTACGGCCTGTGGCACCGGAGCAGGCTTGTCGAGCTTCCACCATGGCGATGCGGAGAGGCCAATCTTGGGGGCTGTTCTTTAGGAAATGGTGCGCGATGCTAGTTCCCGTCATGACAGAGCCAAATGATAACAACATCAACAGAGGAAGGCAGTTGGGGAGATTGACGGTCGGCGATGCCTTGGAGTGGTGGAGTTTGCCAGTAGGATATTGTAGGATTCTGGACAGACACAACCTTTATACACCGTAGGCCTGCACCTAGAAGTACGTTCTGTTGAATCACTAGAAAGGAGGCTGACATTTTTGATATCATTATTCTATTACATACAACTGCACATCCTCCAGGATAAACACAATCTAGTGTATTAATAACAAGGGAATACCGAAAGTCTTAGAATATGTTAACAGATCATGTCCTTCCTGATCAGCTTCTAAGTAAGGATTACTTTCAGACACAGGAATGCTTTCAACTCTAGCCCTAGCTCTACACTTACTTTCAATTATGTTTCCTGTGCTTTTCCTGCTTCTCTAACTTCTCCTGCTTCTCTAACTTCTCCTGCTTCTCTAACTTCTCCTGCTTCTCTTGCTTCTTCTCCTCCAGCTTCTCTTCCTTCTTCTCCTCCAGCTTCTCTTCCTTCTCTAGCTTTTCTTGCTTCTCTAGCTTCTCTTGCTTCTTCTCATCCTG